TTCGGCATCGTGATACTGCGTTGACAAATCTATCGGTCTTTGTGACTCTCTTAGAACCTCCAAAAGGTGAGTGTCAAAACGGATAACCAGCAGTAGGTTTTAGGCCTGTCTAGATCGTTATATTATAAGCCTAGAACTTTACCTGACTTGAACTACACGACTAAGTCAAAATAAATATGGCGACTACAATAGTACGGTCGCTATAGAAACGAACTGAGTAAATTGACGGAGGACTGGACACAAGGATACAAGGTTACTGAACAAAATGGCGGCAAAGCACAGCTGTGCTTTCCTTTCAGTATGCTTTAACTTGTTGTATGCTTTGCTTTTATGAAATTTCTGAATGGAAGAATCTACAACCAAAGCGGAAGAGGCTCTTTATTTAATCGTGGAGGGAGTTCGATTCCAAGGTTTGTATGTTTTGGGGTGCTCAATTTCAAAACTACGGGAGCATCCGCGCGCGCGATCTGGTTGCATGGTTATGGTTGGGTAGGACCAGGGGATATTGTTAATAGGTGAGGCCTTCAGAATGGAAAAGGCTTTAACATATCAAAACAGTATGTTGTTTGTGACTCATTGAGAAGTTATTGTCATAACCACTTCCTATTTGGGATCTTTCTAAATACCAGTTACCGTTGGCAGTTTTATTGGAAGTGAAACAACCTGTCATAATTTTAAGGAAGCTGACAGGTACCTGTTTTTTGTGAAATTTAAGTCACCCAACTGACAAAAACACTCGGATACTGTTTCACAAAGTACAAATTATTTCTTAGAATTTATCATATTGAATTTGATATTTATTCTAAAGTAGGAAAGGATCCGATAGTAATTTGTAAGGAAAGGTTTTTTGGGTTCATATTGCTATTCAAACTCACAAGGACAACCTCTCGTGGTGATGTTCACTGGGGATGTCACTTTAGCTTCTCAGTAGGAAATCATGGAACAATAATGGTTTCTAAACTTGTGGATGACCACTGAAGAAAATCAATCCTAATAACCACTGCTGAGCAAGAGCTCATCCGCAGGTGCAAAGTCTATGAGCAAGACAATTTATATTAACAAGCCCAGCTCTTCAATCCTGTTAGATGTCTGCATTTGTTTTCTGTATGCAATGCATTAACTGGAGTTTTTTTGCATGGATAATGCTTGTTAAAGATGGCCATCTGCAGTGTTCCAACTGTGAAACCAAAACATGGAAGACTTATTTACATTGGATTCATTTTATTTGGTGTCCTGCTATCAATGCTGACATTTTTACCTGGTTTTAGGAGATTTTTTGTTGTCCATTCTCATTTTTGTAGCAGAAATACAAGCCAAGGAAAATGTGATGCTCTGGTCGGACATATTCTCCTCTACAGATGTTATATTGGAATGATGTTATTTTTCCTTATTTTGGCTTTGGTCAACTGTCAGCTTGCAGCATTTACAACACTTAGCCCCTGGCTTGAGAATGGCTTGTGGTTTGTCAAGTTCCACTTGTTTTGTTTAAGCATCCTTGTGGCGTTTTTCATTCCTGAAGGACACTTGAGTAATGCGGTGATGCATACAGGCTGGATTGGAAGTTTTATTATCATGATCATCCAACTTGTTTTAATTATTGATCTTGCTAAGTATTTAAATACATGTTGGGTGGAAAAAATGGAACTATCTACCAACCCAAACAGATTGTATATATCACTGTTGCTCTTGACATCATTGCTGTATACATTGTCAGTGTCATTTGTTGTTTATTTTTATGCTATTTATACTACTTCACTCCAAGACTGTAAAACAAACCTAGTTTTCTTTACAGTTATCGTCCTACTCTGTTTAATTGCTTCACTCCTGTCAATTCATCCCAAAGTCAGAGAAACTGGATTACTTCAGGCTGGGATTGTCACTTCATATTCAATATATCTTGCATGGACATGCATGCAGCACTATCCATATTCAACGTGCAATCCAAGCTGGAAAGTTTTATTCGCCACAGAGTTTAATTTCCACATTCAGCTGAACATGATCATTGATCTCTGTACAACATTTTTAGTACTTGTATATGGTGTCAAGCGAGTGCCTTCCGACGAACATCTGTTCACCACTGTTAATCTCACCGACTTTCACATTTTCCGTGCCCAAAGTGATAACCAGGAGGGTACTGAGAATGACGAACAACCACTTCTTGTATCTGCATACCTAATGTACTATCTCTTCCTTATATTGATCTGTCTACACCTCTTAATGACAGTCAGCAATTTTTATACTCCAGAGGGTATTGTTGGTACAGAGGATGAAGTAGTGGTATCAGAATATAAACTCATTGACATGGATGAATATGTAAAGTCATTGAGCCAGTGGGTTGCATCATGCCTCAAGATGATACTCTGTGTTGTATTTCTCCTCATGTACATATGGACAATTTTAGCCCCTGTGATTTTCTCTTATATGCAAAATGACAGCATGTAAAGATAAATAAATTAATAAATTAATCAATCAATCAGTCAAGCTCATCAGGTGTTGTGCCATTGATAATTAACAGATTGATGTGATATTTTTTGCAATAGTTATAACCTAGTGGCTAGGAGTGATTTGCGAAGGGTGTATCATGCATTTTCTATAAAAATATGGCATTTGAAACTTTATATTTACTGAAAAATGCAATTTTGGTGTTGTCCAGGGGTGTGGCATTTGCACACTTTTTTAGTCCCACCGTGGGGCATTTGCAGCTTGTCCCCCAAAAAATGACAATTACCTGACAAATGCCCAGGGGAAGGGACAGGCTTGCTTGGAATTGACTGAGCATTACAGGGGGTTACAGGGGATTAAAGAAGATTACCAGGCATTACAGGGCGTAACAACAACAAGTGAAAGAGCAACAACAAATTTATTTAACTATGCTAGCCACACAAAACTAAAGGTGATTTCCATGTGGGGCATAGGCAAACAAACTTTACAAAAAGAAAGAGCAAAATGCTACAAATTGTAGAGAATAATTAATTACTTAAAATTTACACATTACAGCTAGTTTACAAGGAGTTAGTTACAGGGGGTTACAAAGGGTTACAAGGGGTAATGAGGGCCTACAGGAGGCTAGGGCGGTTTCAAGGGGCTACAAGGGTCAGGGCAGATCTTGGGGAAGGGTGCAGGGGGTGTGCACCCCCCTGAGATGAGCTACGGCTTTCTAATACAACTGGTATTCTGTATTAAAATGGTTACACCATTCCTTAGTGGTGCCCCTCCTCCTAAGAAAAAACCTGGATCCACCCCTGAGGGGTTACAGGGGGTTACCAGGGGATAGAGGGGGTTACAGGGGATTACAGGAATTACAGTTTGTTACAACAACATGAACAACAGATTTATTTAACTGCTCTAGTTAGGGGGTTACAAGGGGTGATAGGGGTTACAGGGGTTATAATGAGTTTAAAGGAGTTACAAGGGGTTGCAGGGAGTTATAGGGGGTGATGATGTTATAGGAGGTTACAGGGGGCTAGAAGGGGTTACAGGGAGTTACAGGGCATTTCAGGGGGTCACAGGTGTTACAAGGGTTTTGGGGGTTCACAAAGGGTTATAGGAGGTTATAATGTGTTCTTTATAGAAATCGTTGATGTGTCACTATTTGCAAGTAAACGGTTACATGGGTTTACAAGGGGTTACAGGTGGTTATACGGGGTTGCAGCGGTTACATTTTATCGAGTTAAATTAGGCTGTATTTGAAAATATGTAGTGAAAATACGTACCTACTAAAACACGCTAACAAAGTTTTGATTGATTGTATCCATTTTCCTTAGTTTATTTCAACTTGGTGATGATCAGTTTTTATTTGTCTCCTTTTGGTCAGATCTGCCAGAAATTTCTCTGGAGAAGCCATTTACTCAAAAGACATTCATGGCAAAAGAAAAACCAGGAGACGTGTGGGTCGACTGGTGTCAGTAAATAATCAAAAGGTTGCCCTATTCAAGTATAAAGGAACTGTGTGTGCAGTGGATGAAATGCGTCCTCATATGGGTAAGTCACTTGCTTGATATATGCAGTTATTTAAGTTCTAATTAATAGTCCAAGACAGAGAAGTAGCTATTTTGTAGGACTAGACTGTGAAGAAACAATGCATTCCGTTCCTTTCTCATGTACTGGTACTGAAAAAGGGGGATGGTAGGTCCCTGATATAGTGCTCAAAACTCCTTTAGGGTAGCAGAATTTTGTCAATAATTGACAGAAAAATAGTTATTGTTTAGTAGCTAATTAAATACACTGTTAATATTATTATTTTGGTAAATAGCCTACTATCTCTAAGATAACTCTCTCTATGTGTTCATCTTATTGGAAGTCAACTAAAAGGAGTGAAGAAGGGCAGGGACCAAAACTAGGTGTCCATTTTTGGGAGGTGTCTGTCTTATAGAAGTGTCCATTAAGAGAGAGTTGACTGTATGTTAGTGTCAGCACGGTCGGACATGAGCCATAACTATGAACCCATGTAACAGGAAGTTGATGCAGTTTTGTACTAAGATGAACTTCCGATGAGTTGCTCTACGTTTTTGACACTGCTCTATCTCATTGTTGCCTTACTGCCCCTACACACCTTGATAGAGAAAGTGATAAAGTTTCTTATTGAAAAAAAACAAAATGATACTCCCAGCATTTTGTTGCTAATATCCATTTATACACCTTGGTGAAGAGAACGAAGTGGAGCAAAAGAACTAGCAAAGTTTCTTGCCTATAAAAAAACAACATGAGATTCCCAGCATTATGTTACCAGAACTCAAATACTGCAACTGGGTGGAGAGACTATTTGGAGCACAGTTACTCACCTGTAGGAAAACAGTGACATGATACAGACGACATTACACTGCTAGTACCAGGAGTCCATAACATGCTAGTAACTGCTTATACACTTGTGTGAAGTGAGGCAATGAATCAAAGAAGCAAAGTGTCTTTTTTCAAGAAATGCAAACAAACAGAATGTCTTTAGGTCACCTTCAGATGGAAGATCCAATGCATTAGTGCACCACTGCACCTTCAAAGATCAATCAGTGAGAGATAGAGTTGTGAACTTGTGTCCATTCTCTGTAGGTGGAACCCTCCATCTTGGGGATATTGAAGAAATTGGTCAGGCAGTGTTGCCATGTGTTGTATATCTTTGGCATGGCTGGAAGTATTGCCTACAAACAGGCCGCCTGAAAGAAACCCTCAAAAGGAATATAACACTGGGCACTTACCCTGTGAGAGTAAATTACAAAGGAGAGCTGTTTGTTGGATTTGAATCATTGTCACCAGACTATTTCAACTGTTTAATTGATTTCTGAATGATGGAAGTAAAGTTGAAGTTGGGAACCCTGTGGAGTACAGTGTTGTTATAACAGGTGCTCATGGATTCAAATCGTTGTCACCAGACTATTTCAATTGTTTACGTGATTTTTAAAAGGAGAGTGACAGACCCAGCACGAAGTTGGGACCCTGTGGAGTGCAGTGTTGTGATAAGAGGTGTTCATGCATGTCTTTCATGGATTCAAATGATTGTCACCAGACTATTTCAATCGTTTACGCGATTTCTAAAAGAAGAATAAGAGAGGTAGCACTGAAGTTGGGAACCCTATGGTCTACATTGTTGTGATAACTGGTATTCATGGGGTACCCAACGACCGTTTTCTGGGAAATGATCTGAAATGGCTCGTTATGCATCCTGGAGTGCTTTAAAAGCAATATAATTCAATAATTCGCATCGCTAAAAAAATTTGATCTGTTCGGTCGTCCTAGGAGTGGTTTGAGCCTCTCTAATTTTTTAGGGCTGTTTTTCGTCTTTCCCGAAAATAACAGCCTACAGTGAAAGCTTTCCGAAAACCTAAGATTACCAGACGAGCTTTTCCCTTAGCGGAAATTTTTAGGGGTCCTTTCAATTTTTTTCCGAAAACTCTATCTCTTGTGGGAATGTCTTCGAATTTTCTAGGGCGACGTAGAATGTATAGAAAATTCTAGGTGTAATAATAAGAATAACTATAATAAAAAATAAGAAGAACAAAAATAAGGACAATAGAAAAGGCATTTAAGTGATTTTAATGCCAGTTTCAAACGTCTTGTACCCTGCCGAACTCAATTCGCACGGCACTTACTGAAAAATCTGAAATACGGCATGGCACTGACTGATTAGCCGGGTTTTTTGCTATTCTTAGTTTACGAAAGCTACGAAATTTCTAGGTGCTTAAATCAGAATCTACAGATTACTACAAAATCCGAAATTCTTAGGTGAACAAACCACACAAATCCCGAAACTCTGAGCCCAACAACCAGTCACCACGAAACATTTTCGAAATTTTTAGCTGTTCTTGGGCTCTCGAAAATTTTAGCCATTCTAGAGGGCTCCGAACAGACATTTCCCAGAAAACGGTCGTTGGGTGCCCCTGATGGATTCAAATCATTGTCACTAGATTATTTCGACTGCGTACATCATTTTTAAAAGTAGAATGACAGAAGTAGCCATTACGTTGGGAACCCTTTGGTGTACAGTGTTGTGTTATGAGGAATTCAGAGGTGCTTTTTGGATCTGAGTTATTGGCACCTGGCAATTCTAGCTGTTCAGTAGCTTCCTGGAAAGGGAGATGTTAGAAACAGCATTGAGGTGAGACATGGACTAAGTGCTGTTAAGCACAAGCCAATGAAAATGCAAAACTGAAGGATTGTGAAGTTACAAGCTGATGAACATGCAAAAAAAGGATTGTGAAGTTACAAGTTTGGACATGTGGGTTTCTCTTCGCTTGCATGTTTGAGTCCCTGTTGGATCTCTGGGATAAATAATTTACTGGTTCACCTGTTAGAAACCCCTGTGGGTTCTAAAGTTTGGAGTCCCTGTGGTTTACATGTTGCAATTTACGTGTTTGAGTCCCTGTGGTGCATACGTTCATGTATCGGAAATCCTCCGTGGATTCATGTCTTGGGATCACTGTGCCAGTACGCAAGTTAGGTATTTATACCTATTCCACAATCAGCCGGTAGTGCCAGATTTTCATCTCTCACTAACCCCCACCCCTCCCCCGAGCCACAGACACACTAAGGGTCAAAAATATAACTCACTTAACACCCCCTGTTTTTTTTTTGTTGTTGTTTTTTTTGCTTTCGCGTCCGTTTGGTAACACTATATTTACTGCAAACCGTAGTTGAATCACATATAATAGCGCTATACTTAGTTTTTGTTATTTTCTTTGCTTGTCTTTTCACTGTCTCATTTTGAATAATAAATCAGAAGCGTGAGCGACACTGAAAGAAGACAAAAACGACAAAAAAAGTAAAGGGAGTTTTAATACACGTTATTTGCTTTCTACAGTGTAGCGCCCCAATCTCCATCTTAGATGAGACAAAAAGAATGCTGGACATGAATAGACTGTTTCTTTGCTCTTGGCCATAACCTAGCGGGACGTTAGTGATAATATGATAAATTCTTAAATCTCCAAATTAAATAATGTTACAAAAAATTTACATAACTTATATCCAGTTTCTTTCTGCGCCTCTCGTAGCCCTACCTTGTACTAATAATTCAGTATATCTACTGAACTGAACACGGACTTGCTTTTAACTTAAAAATGTCTTGGCTTCCCTACAGTCAATTATTGGGGGGCTAGCCGATTTTTAGTTTTCACGGTCTTAACTTTTATACTACGGATCTTGGTTTCTGAGACACAAACGAATTAGCCACTATTTAGCCACTATAATGCTGCCCGCAGAAAGAGATTCAACACCATAAATATCTAATACTAGAAGTTCTGCCTTTTACGTGTCTCAAAACCAGTTATTACCCCACAGTATCCGGCCTCTTGTAGCCATTGATTTCTTGGATCATTAGACGTTTCTGGGAAACTGCCCACCTACCCCTCCCCTAAGCCAACATTAATTAGGGCAAAATGTTGGCTCTGGGGAGGGGTAGGTGGACAGTTTCCGAGAAACGTATAATCCGATTTCTTTTATCGGTGCACTTATGGGATATCTCTCATACGGCCACTTTCTCGTGTGTGTAACAAGCGCGAAAACAGCGCCGAAAGATATAACTTTTCTCATCTTTACGAACTGTTCTCCATTCCCTGCTTTCTCACACAGCACTTTTTCTCCAAGAGTCTCTTAGAAGCTGAAAAACAGAATGGTAATTTATTGTTAACCATTGATACCATTGAGGCAAGGAACATTATCATCGTGTATCATTATTTAGGAAGAACAGATAGAAGGGGGCAAAAAGGAAAAATGTTGAATCCCCAAATTGCTATTTTGACAGTTCGAAATCAATTCCACTTCCTTTATTACGCATTGCCTATAATGCATCTTCTTTAAAAAGTAAAATAAATAAATAAATGCATAAGCCTTGCTTTTCCTTTCTTTTGGGACGACTGTAATACTATACCAAGGAGAAACTGAAAACAATTCTTGTGCAAAATTTGGACGGGGGTGGTGTAAACAAGGTGTTTTATGGGCAATGTGATAGTGATGAATCCTTGTGATCCTTCAGTTGACAAAATTTTATGATTGGACCATTTAAAATAAACAAAACCTCAAGATTGTGGAAAATGCAACTTGTATTTACGTATATGCCAATGGTCCTATTTTGATGACGAGTATAACGTTCACTTTTTTTGTGCAATGGTTGTCAGTGGAACCGGCACTAGGTCAAGCCTGTTCCAGGTCCCAAGATAGTGGGGAAAGCGGATTGAAAAAAATTGCGCATAAACCGGGCGGGTACCTCTTCCGGGGAGCCTGGTTGCTTTCTCTCGCCAAGTTGTACCCAGTCCTCTTTGTCATCTGATTGAGGGAGGCCTGTTTTGGAGTTCCACCTTTTTCTTTCTCTTGGTAACCAGCTAAGTAACCATAGCTTGAGAGGAAATACGAGTTTTGGATCAACCTTGGTTTTCTTCTCTTTAGATGTTTCTGCAAAGGAACAGAAGTGAAAGAAATATGAAGTATGCAAGGACTTACTGTTCAAAGTATTCGAGCACAGTGAAACTCAGTGGAACATACCCATTGAAGCACAAATTCTATGACAAATTAGATCGACACTGTCTCTTCGTTGCTGAGCAAAAATCGTTTATCTCCCGACCGTGTAAAGTAAACTGTTGTAATCTTTTACACAGGTCCTTTAATACTGTCAACATTTGCAAAAGTTTAGAGCCTCGGTGTCCTGAGCAATGCAGACGGTCTAATAGGGCACCTTTTCGCGTGCACTTCAGGAGCTTATCTAAAACTGGATACGGAGAGGGGGTTTGCCTGAGATACAAATTTTGTATCCGAGCTGGAGAAGGGTTATGGGATACGAAGCAGGAAGTTCTTTTCAGGCAACCTCACTGCGTTCTACGAGGTTTATTTTTACTTACCAAATAACAAGCTCGTCACTGTACCAATCACCATGGTAACAGCCCAACCAATAGCACAGTACCATAAATAGGACATACTATAAAATCTGGCCATTGGGTTGCTGAAGAGAAAGAGAAAGCAATTAAAATGGCGTGTTTAAGGTTGCAGTTTCTCTCTCGTCACGTACTACGGGAACCTCTTTACTAGTTCAACGGTCTTCTGAGTGAAAAACTTTATCTTCACGGAATTAAGAGACGCTTCTCAGTTATTAAACTTATTTATTGATGTTTTTTCTTACGTCATAGCGTTCACGCCAATAGGGTAACTCTGTTGAAAAACAACCGCAAGACTATAGGCCAGCGGTCGAAACGTAAGCTTTCTATGTCCGGATCTTCCATAGGGGACAACCCCGTCAGGGCGAAAATTTTCTCCTGACAAGGAACCTTTTTCTTAGTTTCCTCTCTGAAATCTGAAATCTAGAATCTCCTCTTGCCTGGCCAGAACTAGGCTGAGAAAACAGCCGACATACCGCGACGCCACCACTGGTTTCCCCGCGAAATGACGTCTTAGAAACGCGCGCAGAAATTCCATACTGATGACGCGTCACTACTGAGATCTGGGTAGTGCTTCTTATTGTCGTGCCGTGTGTGAAACTTGCTTCAACCAATCAGAAGCACTACTGACGCGTCATCAGTATGGAATTTCTGCGCTCGTTTCTCAGACGTCATTTCGCGGGGGAATCAGTGGTGGCGTTGCGAAATGTCGGCTGTTTTCTCAGGTTACCTTTTGCCTGGCCGGAACAAGGTTTGATTTGTATCGCTGCACATGGTTATACTTACTCGTGGATCTCTGTGTCGTTATAGAGCGTAGCCGCTGTTTTGTTGAATCCATTAGACGCGCTTCCCGAGATTAGCACGGGGCCGCTCGGGTAACTTGGGTAAAGCTGAGCTCCCGTGAAAAGCCATATAGTCATAGCAAGACTACTGGCCACACCAAAGTACGCGCCCTGTGGAATACAGAAGAGGGATATCTCGTGCCACTGAAATGGTTATCTCGTTAAAATCAGTTTGCAATCTTTCAAATGCTACTTGAACGACGTCGTTATTTTTCAGAAAAACTGGGTTTCTTGGTGTCGTAGATGATGCGATTACCAAATGGCGCAATACAAAAGATTGAAAGGACACTGAACAAAACCCACGCCACAACACAATAGAGTGATTTTCGTATGACCTTGAAATGAAAACGCGCAAACAAAACAGAAACAGCAAACGAATGTAAATAGAGCGGTTTGATTGGTTTATCGAACGGATACAAACGCGCGTGGCTTTTGGTTGGTTAAGCGAACGCTCGGATGAAAAAAAAATTCATGCCCTAGAACTAGAAATCAACCGATACTTCGCTTTGACGTCATACTACAAGACGATTGGCCTTCTCCATATTAGGGTTTTCTTTCGCGGGAAAACGAAGAGGCCATGTTTTGATCTTTTCATCCATTGGCTGATAAAATAAATAACGAACACTTACCGAAACCATTTTTCAAAGTCATACGAAAATCGCTCTACCTAACGGTTTCTGAAACACCAAGAAACACCCAAAGCATACGAATCTTTGCCGTCTAAATTGGTCTGTATGTGTCGCATATATTTAGTGGGAATTTAAGAAGGAACTAAGAAAATAAGCCTACATTTTAAGTGAATAATTTACAAATAGATTTAAGTGACAGTTACCCGGCTGTTAGCTCTTGGTATCAACATTCCAAGTGTGAAAAGTCCTAGAAAAGTGCCTCCGGTGATGTAGAGCAAACCAGAGAAGACCTAAAAAAGAGGTACAAAGTCAAATGCCATCGTGCCTTTTTCACTCGTCTACACACTCCTGGTGTGCACTGGGTTTACAAGTTCGAATGGGGCGTTACAAACAGTCTATCTGCTACACTACACTTACCGCTAACACTATACGACCACAATGATGAAGTGTGAACGCACCACCAATCAAAGCACTGCCCAGTATCACAGCTGAAAGAGTTACATATCAGAACTTACGATTAAACTTAATAGATCATATTTTCAAATAGCCACAAAATACTGGCCTCAACAAAGGACTAAAGCAAGCGAGGAGAGACTTCAGTGCTCAACGAGTGCAGAAAGTGTCCCTGTCAACTTCAGACGTGCGTTTCGACGCCTTGTGATTGGTCGAAAATTTGCGTGACTCTATCGACCAATCAGAAGTAAGACCAAGACTGGACGACTCATAACTGATTTATTTCGACTTCTGATTGGTTGATTAGGCTCTCGGTGTCATGTATAATTTACCAGTGATAAATAAGTACTCGGAATTTTTCTTCCAAGCTGCCTGTGCCACTGACTAAAAAACATCTTTGTCATGTATGCATCCGGTTTAAAATTCACCATCACTGCATCTCTATCATTGCGCGTATGTACATGTCGACATTCTAGTCCTAGCAGTATGCAGGATGTTTGTCACGTGAACCTAGTTTAGTGGCTTTAGCTCCCACGAGTCTCCTGTACCTCAGTGGTAGAGCATCTGGACTAGTAACCAGAAGGTCATAGGTTCGACTCCTGTTAGGAGCACTCGCAATTTGTCTTCCAAGCCGTCTGCGTCACTGACTGAGGAAACATCTTTCTCAGTGATTCGTTTATTGTATCCTATTTGTTTGAGGATAAGTGTGTTTCACGAGAGATCAAGCACTTGTACCCCCGGACTTGTACATGTCCTATTACGCTTCACGCACAAGGATAAAAATGCGCAAAGTATTAAAACGTTTACGCACGAGCAAGGAACACATGATGTCAGTCGCAGGAGTGGCTTCAGTGGTTATGAACGGAAACTGAAATAAAATCAAGAAGATTTAACGTACTTGTAAATTTACAGGTTTTCGTAGAATCGAAGTCGCTTATCTTTCGTAGAAGTCTCTTGACAAAGTCTTCTACAATAACCAGGCAAAGAGAGCTGAGACCTGATGAAATAAAGCTACGAGAAAGAAAACTTGTCAGTCCGAGATGTGAATGGGTGTTTTTAGGGAGTAGTGTGTAACTATTTATCTCGTAAATTTTACAGCTCGACCCCAGATTTTGCGCGGTCAATTTTTCTCTCGCGCTTCTTTTTATATTACAGTCGAACTTTCCGAAGGCGACCGCCCAAAATATGGTCGCTTATGGGAGTGGTCGCTAATAAGAGGTAGTCGCACATGAAGGTTCGACTGTATCTATGTCTTTAACCCTTCCACTGCCAAATGTAGCCAAAGGCAAATTTCGACTAAATGTCCAAATTTCATTTTGTAAAATTTTAAAAAACAAAATGCACCATGTAAAAGAACAGGCAGAGAGCTTTTTTTTGAATGGTCACATCACCGGATTTCGTCCACAGACTCAAAAGTTAGAGTCACTTACAAAACTCCATCAAGCACTCTGGCAGTAAAAGGGTCAATTATATATTACGGGTAGTAATATGCGACGTCATTGTAAGGCAATCTTGAATGCAGTATTGTTTATCTAGTGGTAGTCTCACTTATATTAAACTATATTTATGTTATCTTATTACCTTAAGGATCCAGCGAATATGCAAGCAGTTATAAAACCCGGCAGCCCTTTTATATCACCTAGCTTGTCAGTGACGTAATAGAAGAGAACCTACAAGGGAGACATCCAAAGTTTACTGTCAAGATTCAACCTCGTTCGCTGAAAACTGAAGCCCTTCCCGGTTGTACTTGTTGTCTTGGGACAGTCAGCTGAATAATGATACAAAGTCTACTGGGTAAGTTCTTATGACATGTACCGAGCGTTAAGTGGCTTTTTCTTCCCCCAAAGCAGTTGGAAAACCAGGGTAACTTTGGCTTCCTGTCTCACATACTTTAATGTTTTGTTTTCAGGTATTTCTTTTCCTCGGATGAAGAAAAGTCATGCGAGTGGAGATAACAACAGTTGGTTAGTTTTTTATCCTCAACGAAACGATTTTTGAAAAGTTCCGCACTCCAACAAATTGTTCGGCAATTGATCGCCGACAGTTTCGCGGTCCTCTTTTAAAAAGGGCTGAGACTTTAAAGGGCCTTTTTAATCAACAGAACACTTCCAGGGATCAGACATCGCACAAAAAATAGGAACAAGAGAAAGAAATCATAAACAGACTTATTTTTGTACTGAAACGCTTTGCCCCCCCCCCGCGAATCCATGCTTTTTGTTTGGTGATTTGCTTGGCTTAAGTTTCAAGAGAAAAAGATTCAAAGTGTGGTTTTTTATGCGTGTCTAAATAGACTAGACAACATTCTCAACGGAAACGTCGACGCGATTAATTTTCTCTTCTCTTGGGGTGCGTTGGAAGAAAACCTAGAATTTCCATTAAGTAAAGCTCATAGAGCCTGATTCAATTACCGTGTTGCTGAGTTGAATTTCTCTTGCTGTGGATAGATCAGTGTTGGCATACACAGCGTACATAACGAGACCAGTGACACATGTTAAGCCAGTCATTATCATCACTATTGGTACACTCATCCAAATAGCCCTGAAGGAACAATATTGAAGGGATCTGGTGAGTTATTATTTATTTATGATGAAAAAAACTGTACTGGTTCCCGGTAGCAAGGGGGTTTTGTATTATAATGCTAATGTAGTCTACCAGTGCAATGTCATTTCCTGTCCAATCTGACAAACAGTTATGTGTGTATGAATATAATTTATATATTCATTTAGCCGTAAAGTAATGAACAAGGAATAGCAGATGTGATGTGGGTGAAAATTTTTAGTCCTCACAGTGCCGTAGCCAGACCAAACGGCCAACCGAGGCAGGCGGGAGTTGTTAGGGGGGTTCGGGGGCATGCCCCCCCCCCCCCCGAGAAATTTTGAACTTTAGTCTCTCGGAAATGCGATTTGCAGCGTTTTCTGGGCCTTTTTTTCGAGTTAATTTAAGTGGAATTTAAAAAGCAATAATCAGAAACAAGCTACATAATCTGGGTGACCGTTAACCTCGCCAATGGTTTTGATCAGTATTTGTTCAAAAAAAATTTGAGTTAACGTACGTAGCCCCTTGAGATCGATGATATGGTAATTTTTTCACAGTATATTGACTGAATTGCTGAATTCTTTGTAATATCATGATGCGTTAAAAATATCCGATGATCCCTTATGTAAAATAAAAATGATCGGCGAAATTCGTCAAAATTTTACCGAGGCGAGTGCCTCGGTTGGCCTCATACTAGCTACGGCGCTGCCTCACAGTAATTTAAGTCCGTGACATGAAAGTAGGGAAACCAGTCATTTCGCCGTCTATTTTCGAGTCATTTAGGGCGTTCCAAATAAAATATTCCTCGTCCTATAAACCATAAACCAAAACAAGCGCGCTTCAAATACAATCTTCCTCGTTCTAAAATAGGGGGCCAAGTAACCAGCGCGCAATGACCTTGGGGGGAGGGGGGAAGTGACCGTAAAGCGAAAACAGCATGACCAGGATACAAAGGTCCGCTTGAGTGCAGAATAATGGCCATTCATGCCGTCCATGACTGTGTAGGCGATTCCTCGATTCTAGAACGTGCCATTCCGAGGCCAGCACCCCGTCGTTCCTTGTTCACACTATATGAGTTTGTCCGAATCGTCTGTGGAATGGGGGAGGGGGAGGTGGGGTTGGGGGGAGGGGGTTGGGAATTTTTACCCATCACTCCTGAGTTATGACGGTCGTATGATAGACGTCGGCAGAATCTCACCTTCTAGCCAGGCACACCATCTTTACAGACATATACCGCTGGACAGCTGTCTGGCTGACTGTCCATACAGGCATGGCAGTTAACGCTCCACCGATAGAAAGTGTCCAGAATGTGTATTGGATGGTAGGGTCTGGGTTAAAGCTGGGAAAACAAAACATGGAAATTACATTTGCCAATAAGAAACTAGTTTCTACTGAATCACTTAAGTTAGTTACTGAGCGCGTGACATAGGAGCCTATTGAAAAATGAAAAATCGACGAAAAAAATTGACGAAACCAAAGAAATCGACAAAAAAACCCTGATCCTATAAATGGGCTTCATCCACATAAGGTTAAAACTCGTTACTTACTTGAATATTGTCTTCCGGGTTCCATTCTTATTAACTTCAATCACTCGAGCAAAGCCTCCTGCGTCGTTTGTACCCACAATGCATAGCGTGATAAGTGCGGTTAGCATGAGAATGAGGTGAAAAGCGTTTGTCCATGCCACAGCCTTCAGGCCTCCCTGTTTTGTTCAGAAAAACATCAAACAAATACAAAATTATGTTGGAAAAATTCTAAATGCATAATCAATCTGAAACTAAAGACGAGTAAGACAAACGTTAGCCATTGGATTGTTGAACTAGTCGGATTGTAAAGTTGTAACTTGAAGATTATAATGGCAACAAGTGGTTTAGCCTGCGTGCAGACGATAACTAAACTCTGATTAGTACCGTCTGCGAAGCAGCGCAGAGATCCTTGTTCTGGACCTCCAGCCGACTCAACGAATTACCGGAAGTGCGTTTCGAATTTCCCTTCAACCTGATTGGCTATTACCAGTCTTGCGACAAACAAAACAAAAGTCTTTTTTAACTGGCCAATCGTGGTGCGTACTCAAATCTGGGTACACAGCTGGAAGTCCAGAACAAGGATTTCGGCGCTTTTTCGCAGACGGAGTTAACCAGAGTTTAATTTCGTCTGCGCGCAGGCTACAAGTGGTTGTGCTGAAATGTTGAAGTGCTGGTTGTTTACAGGTGCTTAAGCAACCACGTCGTTAGCCTGCAGATACAGCCGGCTCTCCTCTCTGCCCCCTTGGGGTATTTCGCAGGGGAACGCCTGCGTTTTGGTCACCCTGGGTCAAGCTAGAGACACTCTTAAGTGGGCAATACTCACTAGTGTGGTGTAGAGCGTGCACACCACTCCGGTGGAGACAATACCAGCGGCTAATGGAACTCCAGCAACTGCAAAAGTAACATGCATGTACAGTCGTGAGGTAATTGAATAGCCGACCCCTTCCTTGAAAAAGCAACTCTACCGTATAATTAAGGCTATGTTCACACCATATCGGATATCCCTTGTGAAGACACCATACAAGCTACCGACATGTTCACACTCGACAAGAACGGTGATTTCGTTGTAATTGGATCAGTTTAGGTTTCTGGGAAACTGCCCACCTACCCCTTCCCTAAGCTAACATTAACACTTACTCCTCACTTAGGGCAAAATGATTGCTTAGGGGAGGGGTAGGTGGGCAGTTTCCCAGAAACCTAAGTTGGTCTCATCCTTTACGGAGCGAAGCTGCGCCGCGCCGACCTTGAAAGTGCATCGTTTGTCCTAGTGTGAACCGGTTTTCGGCCATTGCAGAAGTAGATAAGGAGGAGAGAAGACTGGACTGACCCACTGAGACGGAAGTAGATATTTGGAAGTGAAGATTGGGATTTAGTTCAACAAACCCGCTTAGCCAATCGTTACGGTACGATGATCGATGTGTGTGAACGGCTTGTTCCAGTTCTGTGCCGTTGCTTTCATACTGTTCGTACTGTACTTGCTAGCTTTTTGAATCGGCACGAAAACCTATCAGGTATAGTGTTGCCTCAATCTTATTACTCCTATACCAGTGTCAGTAGGGTGGCGCTTACGAAAGTGTCGTGTTTCTAGTTGAACGCGACTTCCCGAAAATTGGAAAGATTAATAAATCCCTAGCAAGGAAAACCAGTCTTCCACAGTCGCAAAAACTAGTTCCCGCCATATAGCCGCCGCGCAGTAGAGCTGCTTGCTTGATAGTGCTTTCAAACTAACATCTTTAACTGAGTATTTCTATTTAACAGAGCTTTAAAAGGGTTTGGTAGATAAGGGGAGCTGCCTGTTTCCACCCCCAAATGTGCCAAAACTCTCATTCAAACAGGTACTAAATTTCTTGTTGTAAGGAACTGTTAAAGTTCGTTCACAGGCTCAAAACGTAGAAGCCAGAAAGTAATTTCTAATAAAACAATTTTAGCTATAAGCTTGAAAATAATTCAGTCCGTTCATGGCTGGATGAGTGAAAGGGTCAAATGTGCGAAAGTTAAAACTTTCGACCCGGACAGACACTTAAAGAAACAGTGACTTGCAATGAGTGTAAAGTAAAGTAAAGGTGTAATAGGCTTAGTTAGCTTATAATATCTTACCCATGCTTATTGCTTGAGACGGGACGTACAGCACCGCACATAAGTATAGGATCTGCAAAAAGGGAAAAAATGAGGGTCTTTTACAGCCGATTCAGGTTTGTTTGAAGTTTCCTTTCAACTGATGGAAAAAAAAAAGATTTTTAATGAGTTCAGTTTTTTAATGTTTTTTTTTGTTCAGTGTCAAACGCAGGAACCTGCTTAGGTATCCAGTGTTGGATAAGTAAAGTGTTATATAAGAAAAAATAAGATCGTGAAAATAAATTTTGAATCGAGGACTTGCTCTGTGCATGCTTACTGAGAGTCTGCTGAGATGACATGTTTTTTAACGCAGAAGAAAAAGGCTGTAGATAGAACAAATGATGAAAGATTCAAGTTACTTCCATCTGACGCCGTTCTACTTTATGCCCCTCGGATAATTCCTTTGTATATATTAGCTTTCTTTTCTTTTTATAGTGAATGCTACCTCTGTTATTAAGTAAGCTTTTTGCACTATTTCTATGTATGAAGTTAATGATAATTTTGTACCTTTTGTACTTTTTTTTGTCTTTTTATTTTCCGTTTGTGTGTAAATGTGTAATGAAGTGTTGTAGTAAAGAATTAAAAAAGTTATTTCCAGCTCCATAGGACCGTTGTAAAGGCAAGACAAAACTAAGAAGAGATTCTTGAGTTGGTTGTTATCATAATGATTCGAGTGATGGAAACTTAACTAGTTCGAAACCAGTAATACTTACGTAGGTTACAGTGAATAGGGTGGCTCCAACGTAGCGCACACCGGAAGAAAAACGCGCCTCCAAGTACTAATGGGAAAGAACAGAAATTCTAATCAACGAGGTTGGGTGGGACAATATTCAATGAGGCAAAATAATGTATGCCGCTCACGTGCTAACCAGCGGTTCGTTTCATTCAATTATAAAAGCTTATGTTGACTGCATTTTTTAGTAATATTTGGACCATTCAGGGACCCGGCATTGACAAAAACGTATGCCACTCACGTGCCACTCAGCGTTCTGTTTTATCACGTTATTTAAAAAAGCTTATGATAACTGCATTATTAATATTTTGACAATTAAGAGATCCGGTATTAATGATACGTCAATGCACGTCATAGGTAACTCGGTGAATGGTGTACCAAGCCTATAATCTGCTCTACTGGGGAGAAAATGCTTCCGTCTTAGTTTGAGATTGTAGTGAAGTGTATATGGAAGCAATTTGACTAATTCAAGGGCCTATTTGTTGAAAAAAAGAGTCAAAAGAAGCTCATATAAACCCGATTAAGCAGAGGCCTTGCTTTGCTTGTTGTACATAGAAATGCAAATTTTAAAATGTGCAGTTGCTTTTGCTATAGTTGTCTCTTTCTGGCGTTTGGTTTGTTGCCTTATAACGAGTTATTGGGATCGATAACTCCCTATCCGAATTTTCCTCGGTAACTAGTATTTAAAGAAAATGTTTTCCACCCTCAAATTTACTGAGATAAAGTATTTAATTATAGGCTTCAGGTCACGCTATACTTGAATACATATCGCGGTCGATTCATCGGAAACTCTTGTCGTTTCCAGAAGATTTTAATCTTGCGCAATTAGTGGTTTTCTTGCCGGTTACTTTCTGACTTCGTTATTCTAAATTTTATGTTTTTTACCTATTCATCCAATAATTCCACTTGGTTTCATGTACTTTTTGGCAGCAGCCTTAAATAGCGTGCCCTGGTCTAAATATAGATAGATATTTAGAAAAGACAAGGGCGATTGAAAACGAAAACAACTAGAAAACACAACAAGCAAAAAGTCCTCCTGCAATAAAAAGTTATTACCTTTTTGTTGTTTAAGAAGGAGAAAATAGATCATTTGTTTCATGAACCATATTTTGAACTTCTGCCAAGATATTTGGAATAGATTTGTCAATGTCATGTCATTTTCACATCACGAATGGTACAAAGGTCTATCACGAAATGCCAGCTAAATACATGATGTAATATATTCTGAGTTTAGAAAACAATTTCGAACCTACTGCAGAAATAATAAAGCAAATTGTGAATTCTTCCTAGACACCTAAATCATAAAATTATTCGCCAAGTCAAAACAAAAGATTTAAACAAAAACAAATTAAATAGGCACTTACCTCGTTAACAGAGGTTATTTTGATCCGATGGAACATAGGAATAAAAAGAACATGGGCCACTCCTGCTACGATCCAGTAGGACAGTATAGCTAAAATAATAAACTGCGCTCCATGTGTGAAAACCTCGTTTGTTGTACTCAGTAGAAGGAGGGACGAAAAGTAGCTGGCTACGAGCGATAGTGCAACGAGCCAGCTTCTTAGTTTCTTGTTCGCCAGAAGAAATTCATTCGTGGTTATTTGTCCTCCGCGACAAGCAAAGAATACTCCCGCAGCGATTGGAAATAAGAGAGATATGGCGAAAACCAAGTAGTCCTCGGCGAATTTCATTGTTGAAGAAAATTTTTGCTGATCTTGTTTACGAGTTTTGCCCCTTCAAATTCAAAGCGAACATCAAGTGGTTGACCTTGATGCGTATTACAGTCAGTATTAAACCAGCTTTGCCTGTGATCTGATACTGAAAGTTATTTCATGGAAAGAAAGAGTGAAAAAACGTGACGGATGTTCGATATTCCGGTGATCGGAGTCAAGACCGAGTGCACATTCACTGCAAGGCAAAAATACCAAGAGCAACAAAACGTCATTCGTTCACAGCTGGATTCAAATGCGAATCTGTCAACACTTGTCTGGGTGACATCTATTTTTTGCTGTTGCCGCTCTTTTGGCTTTGTTTTTTCACAATAATACTGACATTAATCAACCTCTTGCGTCAAATAGCCAAGGTCTCGTCATTGTCTCAGCGAATGATAATCCTTTGTTCTTGTCATGTTTAGTTAAAGTTAGTCTGGCAGTAAGCCAGTATTGATTGCAGACATTCCTTGACGAATTCACACCCTGACCGCTGGTGCCGGAAACAAGTCGTGTAGAAACACTTGAACTGTTCTATGTTTGGAAGCACGCTATCAGTCAAACATTTTCTCATTGTAAAATAATTGCTTGAACTAAAGTAAAATATTGATTAAGAAAGTGGTGGATTTATTTGTCTAATCGACGAGTAAATTGCTTTTACATAGAAGAACGAGGCTGCTCTCCTTTGAGATAGCTTAACGCGATTTATGACACATCGCACGAAGTATAGGGAAAAGCCACACTAGGGAAATAATTATCTAAACCCGCCTTTCTCTATGAATAATTGACTGGCACCACAGAAACGTAAGACTTCATCCTTAGCCAAATTGTTTGTAAATCCAAAATCATTTCTGCTTAACTCGTCACATCCCTAGTCTCATTTTGCAATTATGCTTCCCACAGCAGAATTAATCCACAGCTGGGAACAGGTCAAGACTTGATCAAGTTGGTTTGACTTCCGGGAGAATTAGTCGTCTGATTCACACTCGATTAAAGCCCACTTTTTGACACAGTGAAGCATTATGAATTTAGGAAAGGTATTTGAACTGTTTCTACGTGTACTGATTGCACTCGATAATAGTTATCCCCAGGCTGTGACAGACCTGCTATGAGTGTCACGGGTTCAGAAAACCTCAACAAATTTTCTAGTATATCCCACTAACATTTGCAGTCACGTGCGTGTACAACAGCTAATATTTGCGAGTCTTTTGGTGGAATGCCGTATTTGCTTATGGGTCATAACCATTGAAAAGTTAGAGTAGTAGTTTTGCACTGAGTTTTCCGTCATGATTTCCTCGTCAGCATATACAAGATAGGAAGAAACCAGAAGTCACGATTCACAGTAAAGCTATCTAAAGGAAAAAAAAAAGAATATCGAGGCTTGCAATAACCTGTATTTTGGCTTTTGGAGGAAGTGACGCATTTAATTTCCTTTGTAGTAGCAGAACAAAGTTCACGCAGTCTCGTCGAAAGCGTGGGCCGTGTAACAGGGTATACGCATACATTGTAGCCTAGCATTTTTGTACTTTCAAAACGGTGATAGTAAAAGCAAAAGATCTTCACACTCTGTTATAGATTTAACACACAAAACTATTCAGAAGAGATTAAGGGATCTTCAAGGATTTGCGGTGAGGCCATGGGCCGATAGACGGGGTTTACACGGATTACCATGGGGGAGGGGGGGAGGGGCGGTGAAGAGCAAAGACGGGGTTTACACGGATTGAAATGAGGGGGCGAAGAGCAATAATCAAATAAGGTGTTCATTGTTTCATTATCCCCTCTCGAAAACTGTTTCGTTAGTCTATTATTACCCTCGAAAAAGAGCATATTTTCATTATTCCAACTAGAAAATTTCCGTTGTTCCATTTTTCAACCCTCTAAAGCGAATTAGTAATTTAGAGCACGAGCCCACTACCATAGTCATAGGCTCCTGTTTAGAGTTATATTGGGTTTCCACTATTTAATTAAGGTTCAGATTAGCTTGGAGGCCCGTCAACTCGATCTTTAGCCTGCGAAGCAGGTGCACACGAGCAATTCATGGCGCAAACCCACAATTCAAGAGAGTCCAATTGGTTAAACTTTGTTCTGGTCTTTGTACAGTCTTTTCGTCCCATAAATGGGTCTCTGTCAACCTCGTTTCCAGGGTTCACTCTCTTGCTTCGAGAGAACCCTGGGAACGAGTGTGGGTCTCAGTGTAAAGGCTTGCCTGCGTGGTAAAGGTAATCAATCCCGAATCAGAAGTTTAGTTTGGTCTGTGGCGCAGGCTATGCAAAGGCTGGATCCAGTTTATATTATTTGCTCCAGCTACAAATAGACCTTTTTACAGATACGGCGGCCATATTGAATTAATTCGATATAAGGAGTATGATAATAGTAATACTTCTTGAATCGAATTAATTCAATATGGCCGCCGTATCGGTAAAAAGGTCTATTAGCTTACATTCCTAGACAAGAATGACGTGTTTCAAAGGTTAATCCTGTGTTAAGATAAAATTAACAGCCTGCGGGCAACCCGGGCGTGAAAGTTTTTATTTCAATGCAAGCACAAATTTGATGGTAATTACATTGCTTGAATGAGCAAAGGCGTTTAAAAATTTCAGTACAGACCTGTGAAAATCGACTTCTTAACTACTGATAAAGCATCCATTCTTATAGCTCTACGATAATATTGAGTAGCGTTAGCAGAAATAAAACCAGGCAAAACAAACTGTTTGAGCCGCAAATTGGGCCAAGTTCTTGGCTTGGGTAGTCTGTGTAGTAAGGGATAGCTAATCGGGAATGCTTACAAAACAGGCCTTCGCTGACCTTCTAGCCTTGAATTATCGCTAAAATACCCCCAAGTCCCCCATATTAAAGGAAAAAATCAACCAGGATATAATATTTTGTTACTTTTGACACACATGAGACACTCTCAGTAAAACGATTATTTACATTTGGAAATAGAAATCTGGAGTTACTATTACACGCTCAAGGATTATCGGTACGAAGCCACAGAATAAATGAAAAACAAAAACGAAAACGCATAATACGGGAGAAAATTCGACACTTTAGAAACGAGAAGGATACTAGGTTGAATTAACGTTCGCAAAGACTTCTGGGACCGGGAAAAATGTTCTCTAGCTGACTGCGCGTCCCTTGTAACGATCCCGGAAACAATTGCGTGTCACGTTTTCGCTCCAAATCCTTTCCGTTTCCAAAGACGCGAATTGATGACATCACAATTTAGAATCATTTGCCAGTAGATCGTTGGTGAACATGTCTCCCATTGAGGTCTTCTCCTTTTCACCAGGCTCCTGGAGTGGTGGGGCTTCATCCCAGTTTATCTTGATTTCCTGCAAGGTATGCAATTCACACATTGATTGTTATACTATGATGATTTTGTGAGTGGTCATGGTGTGATCATCATGGCGTGTGCGAGGGCAAAGTGCACTTCATTTTGCTAAAGCGACAAAAAACTAGTTGATGTGCTTAGTAATGTTCTGACTAAAAAAGATGTGATCATTATCACCTTCTTCAACGTCCACATCACGATAACCACCATTACTATACCAACGTTTCCATCATCATCTGCCCGTCACCGTTATCGTCACCAATATCAACACCGCCACCAAGACTGTTATGATGATGATGACGATGATCGTGATGATGATGATGATGATGATGACCATCATTATCATCATCATCATTATCATTATCGTCGTTATCGTCATCATTATCATTTTTCTTACCCTCTCATGAAGTGGCTTCATTTCTTCTTCCTTTTCTTTTTGCAGTCGTTCATTTTCTTCTTCCTCAAAGTCCCATTGAAATGAGTGACCAGGAAGGAAGGAGAGACACCACTCCTTCAGAGGGAACAGCAACCTAGGATCAATCTCTCTTTCTTTGTCTTCTTTTCTCTCTTTAAGTTAAAGCAAAGAAAAAACATGCAATTTAATAAATAAGGTAGCGAGAAAGCAAATAGCCTGCGATTGAAAGCCTTGCATTTTGCTCTCTTTGAATAGAGCTTTACTTATGTGTGTCTAATGAGAGAACTGAGGAGGGGCAATTTTTCAAGTAAACTGAAATTCAGTACTTGACAGATTCCCTAACTCACTAGCCTGTGAATCGCTAAAGAACGACGAGAGATGGCTGTATTGGCAGGTTATCAACTCACCTAAAATCAAACTCATTATGATCCCAACACCAAAGGAAACGATAACGGACAAGCCACTAAACCAAAGGTATGACATGCTGTAGAAATCAGCAATACCCGCACTAAAAGTAAAACATAATTCAATCGATTTAAATTTTACGTTGTGGAGGCAGCAACGCTGACTTTGGTTTTTTGCGCATGAGTAGAATTTCTCATATAAATTCTACGTATTCATGTAACATTAAACACTTAATGACTGGTCCCGAGGAAACATTGAGATTGGAGGGAAACAAAATTAACTGTTTTCCGAGGGACCAGTCTTTAAGTGATTTGTTATATAGGTGGAAATTTATTAGACCTCGCTGTTGCAGCGGTCGTCGGTCAACATTCGCGGGCAGCAGTACGTTGTTACCCTCTAACGTCACAGATTTTGCAATGTTGCCCGCTCAGAGATTTTGGCGGGAAACAGTTTCATTGTTAGATGTCGTGTGTCCTCGAAGAAACCAATGAGAGCACGCGCTGTTGGGAAGAAATTTCCAGCTATATATTAATTTCGTTTAAACTTTTTGCCCATACAGTAATTCCATGATGGGGCCTTACTCAAGGACTCAAGGTAGCGCATGCGCGACTGGTTATATTGTATCTGTTAAAGTACCTGTGTGGCATACGATTTAGCACTGATTCAAGTAAATATCTGACCAATTTGATGATAACATTCATTGGTCAGGGCAAGAAAGTCTTGAAATTGTCAGTCCACATTTTGCTCTTGTTTTGAAGACATATATGGAATACATAAACTTTAAAAAATACATATTATATATTTATTGAAATGAAACCCAACGGACAGTTTTCCCACGATATTTCTTGTTCAGGATTGTTTTAAAACTTGTCTATGGAGAGTAGCTCCGCCCCCCACTCTTATTTTTCATTTTTACACCAAAACCGAGACCAGTAAAGCCAAGGCGCAGGGACTTTTCGTTCCACCTTGACAACGCACCCCCCCCCGCGCACCTTAAGGTCTGAATCCACCATTGCAACGTAAGTGACAGTTATAGTAGCGTGTTCCAGGCGTTCAGATAGTGGAGTGCGGCGCGAAGTCAGAGAGCGGGAACGTTCTCACCCCAACACCACCCTCCTCGCTGTTTTCCCTGCTCACATCTCTATGCGCCGTCCCCGCAATCTGAACTCCTGGCACAGGCTATAGCTATGATGTACAGGTACTCTACCTGTGTCCTTTGTATGGGTTATATATATATCCGTTTTGGTTGATATTGTTTTCCTTGAAAAATGCAGCCGATGAGTTGCTAAGGGTACCATTTATAAAGGTAGTATTGGCAGTGAAGAAGTCACATTCCTGAACTGAGCGAAGGCCTGGGTACTTGTTGGGTGGATATAATACGGACCCCACAAAGACCCATGTTGTCATAATGGCGCCGCTGAATATTCCAAAATAAGCGCCCTGGAATAACAGTGAAAGAAGTAATGAATACGCCATTCTAAAAAGCGATAAGGGATCTGGTGCCGAACGCGCCGTTCAGCTATTGGCCAATTTTTTCCCCTGTCCCTAGTAACAATCCCCCAAGTCTTCGTGAAAGTCAACACGGCCCAGTTAGCTTTTGTTTCCTTAAGTGGGGAATTACTTAGTAAAGGAATGCTGGAATTATCGATTAATTTTATTTAACGAGGGTGCTTCGCCGAACTAGACTACGAACAGTCTCTCTTTTTTCTTGGTCCATCGAGCAAATCGCTCAAGACACTCAAATGACTACGCTCATGACTAAAGGCGCCCTCGTTTCTCGCGTCTCGTGGCTCAGCTGCTCAACTCTCTCGCGCGCGTGCACTCCCCTTACTAAATCTGAAGAAAAAGAGCGACTTCTCGCAGTCTACGCCAAACAGTCTCTCGACTGATAAAACTGAGGCTATTGGAGCCCGGGCCGAATTGAATTTTTGTTTTTTAAAAAACAAGGTACAAGCTGGGCAATTTAAGAAACAATGCGGAACAAATATGAGAACTAGTGATAACAAAATCAATCCAACTGTAAAAGAGGGAGGGCGAGGTTATAATAATGATAATAATAATAATAAAAAGAAGAAGAAGAAAGTTTTTTTTACAGATGGCCTATGTCACATTTAAGAATTTGTTCATGCTTAGCGTGCGTATATCGAGTTATGGATGCACGCGGGAAGTTTGGAGAGCACGAAAGATGCGTAAGAGTTGCACGAGGCGATAGCCGAGTGCAACTCTAGCTTCTTGAGTGCTCTCCAAACTTCCCAAGTGCATCCATAACTCGACATACGCACAGCTAAAAGCATGAGCAAATTCTTTTATAACATAGCTGACAAAAATGCTTGCTTTTTGATTAACTACAAAATTCTCGTAACGCGCTACACAATAACAAACGCTTCTATTGGCTGATTACGAACACACCACAATCATCTAGTTTGAATGAAAATATTCTTTCTATAGCTTTTCTGTAAAACTGAGAAAGAAAATTTGCTTCTTTATTCGTTAACGATCAATGGAAACTAAGCAGAAACAAAGGTAAAAGAGTCTTAAAGTTCACCTAAAGTTAAAATACTAACATGTTCGTAAGAAGTCGTGGAGTATGGTTTGGATTTGCTGAAAAGATGTTTACGTTTTGCTCGGCGAAATCCAGAAAACATGTTTTTAGTGAAGACAACTGTCATCCTTCTTTAAACTCATATTCATTTACAAACATTGGCTGGTCATTACGGCTTCTTGAGAAGACCTGGCAGCAGTTGTTTTTGTGAGTAATAAATTTATGTCTTCTTGTGTGATTTGTGTTGTTATTGCGAGTGAAATCTTCCTGCCTCAGTCGGATTGTCCAGAGATATAAAAACAACAATAAAAACGGAAATTTAACCTCTTAATGTTGTTGATGACCAGTTGGTGTCTGTTCTGTTCCCAGTGAATGTTTTGCGGCCAAAATGTGCTGCAGCTGGTCTTCCGACAAATTTGCGAAACGCGCAACAAGTGAGTTTGTTTTAATTCGGCTCTATTTTTGCTGCTTGTTGGATCAGGACCTAAAAGGTCAATGCCGATAGAAAAATTGGGCAGTTCTTCGCTGGTTTCTTCCATATTTTAAAGAGAAGGAAAACTGCACTGCAGCTTAAAAGACGACAACTCTGCAGCCAGGTAAAAAAAAAATGCTTACGTCATCTTATTTACGCACGGGCGTGCGTAAATAAAGATTTTGTTCATAGCGGCTCAATAGGACTTATATAGGGCAAGCACGCGCGCTATGTTATAATATGTGGTTTTCAATAGGGTACTGCATAAAAACTAATTTTTCACATTTCACTCCCCAGGTTGGGCTATTTTTCGTAGAAAAAAAGAAACCTAAACTTTTCGGATTAAAAACTGTGATGTAAAGAGGAATCAGAAAAGTTCTCACTTTCATAATACGTTAAATTGCATCTAAAATTTTGGTGAAAGTAATACTGAAGCCCTTGTAATTTCGAAAAGTCTTAAGTTCCTCTAGGATGACCAAACAGATACAAATTTTATAGCGCCGCTTAGAATGCATTCCTAGAGATCTAAAAATACTCTGGAAAGCCTTTAAAAAGCGTTTTCAGTGTATTTAGGAGGAAATCGTCGTTGGGTGCCCCTGATAACTAAGAACTGCACAAACTGACTTCAATTCACCGGTAATGTGAACACCCCTTTGCAGTATGAAGCAGTGAGGCTGGTGTAGATCATAAAGGCCACGTAGACCTTGTGGCAAGACCGGTGAAGAGGGTTGGGACCTTAACAAGAAAAACATTTCACTGCCTGCAAAAGGAGAGAGGTGAGGGTTGTTTGCATTGCATACCTTGGAATTTGCTCGAGGGACAAACATTCCAAGGAAAAATATTCCTAACAGAGGCCCACCGCAGATTCCAAAAATGCTGTACGCCAACTAAAACAAGGAAGCAACAATAGGAATGTTAAGGTCACCCGGAAAACAACGCGTCAAGTGACTTAATTACTTTTTCTCCTTCCTCTATTATCCTAAGTCTCGCAGCCTGATGCACTTGTAGGAATAATTTTGTACAACAGCGTCCAGTCTAAATATCGACATTGATTTTCTCGCTCACCTGAAGACTATATGACAAAGGGATTTTCAATTAATTTGCGCACTTACTTACTCTGGCCAATCTGCTGTATTTGTGAAATTCATATCAACCAATCAGATATTGAAGCAAATACATGTGGCCAAAAAAAGCGCGGGAAAACTTAGGAGAGGAGGTTAGAACTGTCAAGATCAACCTGTCAATTGTCCCGAGCAGAAGTACAAGCAATGTATGGGAAAAACAAGGAGAATTATTATTTAATATTCGAAATAAAAGGTCAATCAAGATAAAGATTAGACAAACCTGCAAGACCATGGTGCCTACGTATTTCACCACAAAAGCTCCTCCAATAACAACGACTCCGAACGAAAGGGCTAAAAAGAATACGACGTTAGTAAAATGTGACTTAAACTCATATGTTTGTTACACGGGTCTCCACCACCAGACACGTGTATACCAGTGCCGTGCGTCTATTAGCTGGTGAGGTAGTTCGCGCGGGAACAAAACTTTGATTTCATTCTCATCTCCTTCGCGGCTTCTCGTCGCGTAAAACGTTTCGCTTCAATGTTTATACAATCTTCGCCTGTCAATTTGACTTCCCTTTCTGGGGATAACGAAAACGACGATTGAAAACAAATATTGTACACTTAGTGGGGATTTACCAACAAGTAACCAGCTTTCAAAGGACATAAGGACGGCTAGCAACAACATGGGGGAGAACTGTGGACCAAGAGATAGGGGTAGGTCGAAGGACTTTTTTGCAGCCTTACGTGTTAACTTCACGGAGGCCAGAGAGGACTCAGTTGAGTTGAGTAAAAAACGTGCCTCCTTATTTGTGTGTGTCTTAGGCGTGTGCGCCACGATTTTCATAGCCAACTTCACTCGTTCGGAAAATGTCAATTCAGAGAAACGTTATCCATTTCAACCACCACAGCTCCACACATTATCTTCTTAGTATTAAGGAGGCCTTTGGAAGTTCTTGGAAAGTAATGAAGTCGACTAACGCATACTGCAATCATATCGTTATCTCACTCTACTGAATACGCATTCTTGAAACATTGCTTGCGCGTAGGTCAAAATGACCTAATATGACAGATTCGCCAAAACGCGTACTTGAATATTAATGAAAAAATCACCATAGAATAGGTAAGCTAATTAAATGAGCAATTACCCTTTTTAACTTAACCCTCTCTTTTAATTTAACTTACCAATAATCTTGCATAGCTTTGCAGCGTCACTGTCAGTAATATCTGGGACCTTCTTTTTCACGATATCTTCCAAGCACACAAGAGCCATGGCATTCAGTGCGGAAGACGCTGTGCTATTGAAACAAATGACGGATCCTCTATTAATTTCTCAGATAACCGCAGAAAACCTAATGTCGTTCCAGGGTCTTTCTTCTTCTCTGTTCCCGGAAAGGCCCTGGGAACAAGATGGCGATATATAATTCGGCTTCGGGCGACTTCAGGCTATTTGAAACTGCGGAGATTTTGAGCTTGCGGTTCGATGAACCATGCCACTGCGTCACGATTAGCACTTTCCTTTCAAATAGCATATCTTTATCGATGAAAGAGAATTGCTACATTTAATAATCTTTAGTGGGAAAATTCCAGACAATACTATGTCACGTGAAAACATTTTCAGGCCAAAAATGAAACCTACTTCATAGTAGCTCGAAAAACGTGTGTCTCGGAAAATTTTGGCCCGGTTTCGAAATCTTGGAAGCGTTTTTGATGGGTCTCGAAGTCTCGTTTTCGGGTGATTTTTGCGTCTCGGATTTGTCTTCTTTTCTTTCTGTATGGTCTTAAGGAGTCGAATTTTTCAGAGTTCATGGGTACGGCTTTTCGAACTGAGCTGGTAGATTATTAAGACAGTCTTCCATTGGCATTTTCGGTCATTTTCTTTAGTTGTTTTGTAGCATTACGTAGAAATTTTCGCTGCTTAGAGTCTCGGGCTCAGATTTTTCTCTCGCAGTCGCGCAAAGCCTCCAATTTGCCATTCTATACACCTTCTAAGGGAAATTAACTCTATACTGGTTTACCTATTAATTAAGCGGTAAAACTTGTAATACGATGGGTATGCCACAGGATGTTAACTGTTGACTTTCACTGAGTTACCTGAGAGCTCCAGCGTAGAGACATGCTGTAAACATTCCCGGCAGTCCTTTCAGGTGACCAAGCTTGTTTATCACGAAGTATGGGAGTGTCTACAAAGCGAACACGTGAATAAGTGACTAAATGAATGAATAGATGTTATCGAATTTTTGAATATAACAGATTACCAAGGTCATTTCGAAGCCATTACCATAGACTCCTGGTCATGTAAATTTTTAGTCTAACCTACAAGTGTAATCTAGGAATGTTGCTCTTGGTTTAGAGTCTTAACCAATAGCTACTCTGAAATTACTGTTCAAAAGTTTTGTTGAGTTAACACCGGTGGCTTCTTTCAAATCTGCAGCAGATGTACTTGAGGCAGTTAGACCTAATTCCCATTCTGTTGTGGATTAGAAAAGAAAAGAAAAATCATGAAAGGCAGATCCCTGCATTTTCACTCCAAATTTATATACCTGATCATTGCTGGTGATTTTTCCTTGAACCCTAAGATCACATCCTGAGTATACAGCGAAAATAACCAGCCCGTCCAAACAACACAACGTGACAATGATAATCAAGCCGGGAATGTTAAGCCAGACCGCCCTTCAAAAAAAGAATAGGAAATTGCAAGTTCTTCCCAACCATATAAGTCTAATAACTACGCGTGGGTAATCTAGCCTATGTACAGTGTGTACAGACGCCCCCTCACCTCAGAAAAAAATCGCCTTTCTCCGATTTTTTCTGAGGGGGCGGCTGTACACAGGCTAGGGTAATCACAGGGTCCCCACACAATCTGTTTGTGTAACCGATGTAATTATCGTAAATGTACTGCATTTACTGTTTTAATTTGCTTTATCTGTAGAGGTATATCGCTAAATATGTGCATGTATCAAAGCTAAATAAACGTTGTGTTATCTTACCTGCGGTAAATTGTCGTCCTTTTGCCTGACAAGTGGTATATTTTGAGCGATTGTAAAGGATTTTGAGTTCGCTGTTCACTGTTCCTCTTGTTAAGGAAAACAGATTGTGTGGGTGCCCTGTGCGGTAATCCCGCGCGCGAGACCACGCACTGGTGGGGGAAGAGCTGGACCCCAGTGGTGTCTGTTTCGAAGGAATCTGGGAACGAATGTTTTGAGCCTGGTCCCTCAAAATGGCGGCTTGATTTACCGATTTGCTCTGTGTTCCGCCCTATTTCAGGCACAACGAGGAAAAGCGAAAGTGTGCTGGGAGATTTGTGTAAGTGTATCAGATAACTCTGATAGTATTTAATCGACATTTTTCGCTTTTTTAAGACTGACATTGGTTTGCGAAACTGTAAGTGAGTAGCACGTGTCAAGGCGTGTGATCTGTTGTGCTGGAAACCAACCTCAGTGCTGGATTGCTGGTAAAGCACCTAATACTCATTTGCATGTCATTGAATAACAAAGCAATAACAGAAAAGTTTTAATAAGTTTAAATTTCTCACTTCACAACATGCTATCTGATGTATTCCTTGGTCTAGAGGTTTTGGCGTATTTTTACACCAATTTTAATTTACTTTCCCAATCAAAGTGGTCTATTTTGTTCTTTAAATAGCTTTCTTTAGGTAAGAAATTATGGTTTATGCAAAAAGTGCCCTGTAGTAAGGCAGGTTACTGATTGTTACTGTGGCAGGTACAAAATGTAAAATGCAAGTCAGAGGTCACAATAAAATGCAGGTTAGAGTACAGGTCACTCAGTCCTGAATCTGAAATAGAGTTTTAGCTTAAGCGGAAACTGCTTATCTCAGTTATTTATGAGCAGAGCAGTAACCTGCACCTGTGACCTGTGTTTTGTACCTGCCACAGGTTACTGCAGTATAGGCGAATCTTTGTTTACACTTTTTGCCTCATAATAACATATGCTTATCACTATCTGATGACGCTAATAAAATAAAAACTCTGAATATTGAAAGGGCATGACAGTTTCAGTTATCTCTGAAAATTTGAGCCCTATACACCAAATGGTTTCGGAGAAATTCTCTTCTAAAAACTCAAAATTTTACAGAGAATGTATAGCCCATGAAATATTTTGCCACCCAGCAATTTCACAGTTTTTGATGGCTGATGTTTCCTTCAATAATGCTTGCAAAGAGGTGAAAATTGCACAAATTGCTCAATTTAATCAGCTCTTTCGACTTTTACATTTAGTTCATATATACGGCTGCGGCTTCTATGAGTTACCTGTAAGTCGTATGCTAATGAGGAAAAATGTAAACTATGATGTCAGCAAAGATTCGCCTATAGTAGTACTAAACATGGGTTTTATTACTCCCTGATTGTATTTCACTCAGTCCTCTCACCACTTCTCATCATACCCATGGTTAAGCAAATCAGGCAATTGATATGTGGTCGTCCAATTCAGCTAGTCACTCGTATCTTTACAGACTGAGTTGGACACCACTCAATCCCATTACAGTTTTTGTACTTTTTCGTTATATACAGGGGGAAGGGGATTGCCCGGGAAGGGTGGGGGGAGGGACTACCATATAAAAGTGACAGGGATGCTTGTCATCTCTCTTACGGATGTAAATTGCAGATTGTGGTCCCACTTAGAGTGTTTGGGATGGAAAGTCACTGTATTTGCTCATTCGGGTATCGCTTAGAGCTGTGCATAAAGATATTTCCAAAAAGGCTGTGATGTCTGTTAGAATGGTCTCCTTTAGAGGTCAGTCTAAGCTTGAGCCGCACCGACATTGGTCCCCCCTTAGGGTTTAATGTTATTTTTCCAATGAGCAGCCCCCTTACTTTTATATGGGAGTCTCCCCCAGGGAGAATTGCGGGCACGCTAAGATCCCCCTAGCTATTAGCTACGAGCTGATAAATACGATACCAAATGTGACACACAGTATCAACTGACATGATACAACTCACTTTGACTCTGAAGATGACTACCGCACAGGTTGTCGAAACATCAGTCACTGTGAACAACAGTCCTAAATGTATTTTGGACTACATTCACCCAGACAACAATACTCAACCTATTTACCGTAAATACTTTTTAGTTAACTTTTTCTTCACCTTCTAGCATCCCTAAATGTCCGTATTGCCAGGAAACGTTGAACAGCTGTCTGACTGACTGTCCAAACTGGCATGGCAGTGAATGCTCCTCCAATTGTCAGTGTCCAGAATGTGTTGCGTACCTTTGGATCAGGGTCGAAGCTAGATGATGTGGACAAAAACAATCATGCAGTAAAACAAATGTCCTGGAAACTACAGGTATGCAGTTATAAATGTACATAATTTGTAAGAAATGAAGCCACAATTAACTAGAGTCAATGGACATGTACATGCTGATTGCCGCCCAATCTTCACCTAACAGGCATACCGTAGGGATTTGCATCATTATTTTTTTCCCTTGTCCACCTATTCCCTGCACTCTGATCACTCAGTAAGAGATAACAGATTTTATTCTACTCTCCCATCACTCTTATTCCTCCACCCAAAATAAATGGCTTCCTGCTGAGTTGCTCTATGCCCTCTTTATCAAAGCTAGGCTTGGTGCACAGCCATTCATGCTTATGAAAATGAGTTTAATTTACTTTTGAATGAGAAACTTATTTTCATATGAGCACTGGGAGTTGAACTCAGTGAAAAATGGGAAACAAATACAGTGATGGCTGGAGGACCATTCAAACCAGTCCCAGAATTTAGTGTTCAGATTACTTGGCCATGCTTCTTTCACACATATAGGCTGTGTATACAGCACAAAGCAACAGAAAACTAATCCATTCATAATATTTGATAAATTGGGGTAAATTATTTGATCAGCAATACTTAAGGGAGTGTAATGATGCATCAAATCATTGATGCATTGTGATAACTAGTGTTCCCATAATGATGCATTGATTTTAGACATGAGCTAATAACAGAGTTGTATGCAGACATAAGAATTGATAACAGATAGTGTTGCTATTGATTTTTCAAGTGATGTCCTATATATTTCCTCATTCTTGATTGAAAAATGCCTCCTTTCAGGCCTTCCAATAGAGTGCAGAAAATACTAGGAAATTACCAATATATGAAATTTGTAGCAGGTCACATAACACACCAATAAAGGGTTCTTATTGCAGCAAAATATGTTACCTTATTATAGGAAATTAACGCTCCATGAAATTAATGTGAATCGTTAAAATTCACGTTAATTTAAGTTGTGTTAATTTTGTTGAGTGTTAATTTCTGCGACGTTAATTAAGTGCAGCGTTAATATCTGCACTCTTAATTTCCAGTATTTTAACCCCAATTTTGGAACCCGTCCAGACATTCTTGACACCTAAAAAACATTAACTACAAGCTATCTTTCCTTCCATTTACCCTATATTTTTCATCTTTCACAAAAGCTGAGGCAAAGGTTTACAATATTGCGAGTTCATCTTCATTGTTGTCACTGTCAGAAGTGATGTCAGCTCAGTTTTGAATTTTTTTGCATCCAGTGTTGAAGTAAATTTGTTCCAGTTGTCACCACCAACTGTGCCTTAATCGCGTTAATTTCCTTTATTATGAAATTCTACCCCCTCTTTTGCGTTAATTTTCTTAATTCGAAAGTCGTTTGCCATTAAATTCGCGTTAATTTAAGTCATGTTAATTTCCAATAGCTTAATTTTATGGAGCGTTAATTTCCTATAATAAGGTATTTCTCTTGAGTAGATTAAACATACATTTAAAATGCTCCCTGCCTATAATACATTCACAATAACAAGAAACTCCCAGAGGTTTTACACCATGTTTCCAGAGTTAAAAAGTCTTTTAGAAATAAGCCTTTTAGTGTGATCATAGATCAGAGGCCCTATCTTTTGTTCTCCACTGCTTTAAAGTCAAGGAACAATGCCTGAATGGTAGTATCAAGTCTAATATCTTCACTAAGGAACAATAATTATTAACAGTGTAACATCTTTTTAAAGTATGTTTGCCATATTATCACAATATTGGTATCACTACTATGGCAGTAGACTGTATTGCAATATTATTTCAGTTATTGCAATGCCTAGCATTGCTATGGACAACAATGACCCACATGGTCCTCCCTGATTGCTCAGCAACTGCTAAATAGTACTGGATTATTACACTTACTTAAAGAAGTTAAGTCGACCAAAATTGTTGTTGATTTCCCAAACATTGGCAAAGCCACCAACTTCAATGCTGCCGACAATCACAACTATAATAAGCCCTGCCACCATGATCATAGACTGAAAAACATCTGTCCAAATAACAGCCTTCAGACCACCCTACAGAAAGAAAATGTAGGGACACAAGGGATGCAGAAATAATATGATAAAGAACGTACATGGTTCATTTAAGACTTTGCTTGATTGTTAGATTCTTGGTTTAAAAACAAGATAACGAGGCTTAAATGTTTCAATTTAAGTGGACTTAAATTAAAGCTTTTTTTAGATCTGTGTTAATATTCAACCATGTTTCTGACAGGGTTTTCCGGAAGCTCTGGAGACTGGCCAAAATTGTGTTGTAGATGTCTTAGTTGCTCTGGCTTCTCACAGAAAATATCTTTCAAAGAGAATAATTAATCTGTCGTATTTTTCTCTCAACAATTCCTTGGATGAAAGCAAACATATGATATTGAAAAAAGCAAATGTGGGTAAATGACGTTGCATTTACATTATTGAATTCATATTATTTCTTTGCCTGGTTGCTCAAAAACTGGTAGTTTCTTGGTGTTGCGGACTGGTGCAATCACCAAATGACATGGTCATACAAAAGATTTAAGAGACACAGAACAATACCCACACCACAAAACAAAGGAGAACCAACAATGGTTTCCTTGACAGAGGGGGGCGTAAGGGGGGTCCGAAAACCGCAAAACCGCACAGAAATACGCCAAAAAACCGCAAACCGCATCGGATTTTTTCCCGAATACCGAAACCGTGCGTACATGTAGGCCACAATATGAAAGCTGACGTCAGCAAGACTTGTGATATATTCTGATGACATTGTGCGTCATAACGCTAACGATATATTGTACTACACTACTAGGTATACCTATCGATAGAGTGCCAACGAGCAAATCATGCGTATTTTGCTTAGGAATAAAATTCCTTTTTTCCCCCATTTGACCGTTTCTTGGTCCCTTCCTGTTGCAAGGATTATTTTCTTGAAAAGTTCTCAGATTCAGTCTGGTGGCTTTACAAACCTGCTATGTAAAAGTGTGAAGTGCCTTGAAAGAATAAAGTCAGCTTTGCAGAGGAAGCGATCGGGAATATTATTAAGTCCAGCTACAAATCTACGGTCGGTTCGGTTTCACATTGTTGATAAATATTTGCACAGTTTAATCATTTAAACCTCCTTTCAAATTTCCCAAGGCTTTTTGTTATCGGATTGAAACTTAGAATGATTCGCTGGGCCATCTGAAATGTTTCCAAGGACATGCGATGTACGGCACGTCGGTATTTAATTTTAGTTCATTATTTTTATACTGAACTCGGCCACGTTTCGAAAAAAATGGCGTTGTTTTCTTTTCCTTTGTCGTTCCCTTTGGGCTTGTAATTCGTTTTTGTTCCCATTATTTTTGTTTGCTGGTTAGATTTTTTCCCCAAAAAAGATTTTCCCACAGAAGCGACTGGATTCTTCGTGTCAAGCTTTCCTTATCTCCTTGTGTAATCTGATCCTTTTTAGTGGTGAGAATATTGCTTGCTGCACATAGAACACTTTTGCTGTTTTACAAACTTCTCTTCGTTAAAACTTAACATTATGGCCCCTAAAATTAATAGAATATATCAAGTGCTCATGTCTCTTGACTGCGGTGGCCGGGTTTGACGAAAAAATTTAGGTAAATAAACACAGGAACAGGGGCACCCAACGAGAATATAGTTCAAAACCACTTAAACATAGCATTGTTAAACGTATTTTAGTATTTAAACGGTAGATAAAGGCATATTTTTATCCCCTAAAAATTTTTCATCTGTTCGGATTTCCTAGCTGAAAGTCTAGTGATCAGAAAATTATAGGGATCAAAACTCGCCTTTTCGAAAATTTCAGCCAGAAAAAAGGCTCCCGAAAATTCTAGGTGACCTTTTTAGGGTAAAAATTCGTTAAAAATAGGCAATTATACCATTTTTTAGATGTTCGAAAATCCTAGGAGAGGCAGGCAAGCAAGAAATTTTACAACAAATGTATCGAAAATTCTAGATCTCAAATCGTCTTCCGAACAGATATTTTTCCGAAAATTGTCGTTGGGTGCCCCTGACAGGAAGTCACGACGGCGGGAAGTGTGTGAAATTTTGTTTGTTATTCAACTTGAGCCCGTGCACCAGGTACTGCCTTTTGATTGGTTCACAACTGACCACTTGGTCTCAGGGGAATCTACATTACATTAGGTTACACTTTTTCAGCTCGATCGAGAATTTTTCCGCCTATTGCCCAGTCTTGCGCGGCTCCATTCTGCTGCCGCCTCGGATGGCTCGTTGGCAATTATACTCTATTTACTACTAACCAAATGCCAAGTATACTGGTCATGTACTTGAACGAGTATTGATATCTCCCTTGACTTTGAAAAACTGTGTCACTGATCCTGTACGTCTTACACTGGGTGACTGATTACTTTGGACGTCCCTGTGCTAGTTGTGGAACGCGGAATAAATGTTTCTTCTGGAATTGTGACCTTCTTGTCTCGTAAGGAGTTCACGTTCAGTGGAGAAGACGATTGTTAAAACGTACAGCTCTTCTGAAATTCTCCCCTTCCTTTCCTTCTTCATAGAAGATTGCCACGCAATTAATTATTACGTCCTCTTCGCTTTCAGTTGCGACCTCGACGACCTCAGTTGCCATTGTGGCGCATTGAATCAAAGTAACGAGAACACGAGGTTGTACGGCTGTACGAGCTAACATTCCGCATGGAATTTCACGAAGTCGACACATCATTGGCCAAAACGGTTAATCACATTAAGTATTAACTGGAAAAGGCCGTAATTGCAAACCACAGAGTTAAATTGTAAGCTGATATAATGAACGCTGATGCGTTGTAAAACAAAACACTTGGCTCGCGCTTGCAAAACAACCGGATGCCGATCGTTCTAAAGAGTGTTATCACCGCAGACACTTTTTTTTCACCGACAACCGCGACTTAAAGGTGGTAATAACCGCAAACCGCTTAGTGTTTTGAAACCGCAATACCGCGAGTTAAAATAAAGATTACCGCAAAACCGCACCAAAAATAACGCAAAACCGCATCACCGCAAACCCTTACGCCCCCCTCTTGACACCAAGAAACAGCGCAAAAACTGCACTGAAATGCGATATTCTAGGCTGCCAAAATTGAAATTTTTCTCAGCGAGGCCTCATCCAAACTCACCCAAAAGAAATAGGCTGTTTTCCCTTAGCCTGCCAATGGTAGAAGTTTCTCCTCGCTCATCGTCACTGGGTGATGTTTCGTGGTGTCCCGTAGCGGCGATGAGTGAGGAGAAATGTCTGCCGTTCGCAGGCTAGTTTTCCCTTTCCATTCCTGCCTACTCTCACATGCAAATGCCATTAAACTTATCTATTACTGCCTCCTTAAATTTTTCTCCTGCTTCTTTAATTTTTCTTGAGAACCCTATTCTAGGGTCTCTCCTCTTCCCATTCTGAGAGAGCCTGGGAGCAGGGTTTGAGTGAAAGTCATTTTAAAGAGTCTAAGCCTCCACGTATCTAAGACTTAAAAATACCGTAAAATTCCAAAAATAAGCTCCTCCATGTATAAGCCCCTCCAAATATAAGCCCCCCAAACCTGTATTGTAAAAAATCCCCCTTTAAATCGCCCCTCCGAGTATAAGCCCCCACAGGGGCTTGTACTCGGAAATTGCCCTCAAATATGAAGTAAAACAAAGCAAAAATGGAAAACTCCTTTCACATATACCCGGTAACCTAGCCCAATAGATTTTAAAGGGAAGATTTCCCTCCGCACATAAGCCCCTCCAAATATAAGCCCCTCCAAAAATAAGCCCCTCAAAAAAGGCCTTTGGAAAATATAAGCCCCGGGGCTTATTTTCTAGCCTGTGAACAGGCTCTCTGTAGGGGGAAAAATAGCGAGGAAAGGGAAGGTCCCTACTGGACGAAAGGCCTGTTCACAGGCTACTTATTTTCGGAATTTTACGGTAATGTACATGAGTTCATATTGTTTATGCTTCACATGCTCTACTTTTAAATAGTCTTACTAGTCACAAACCCGGGGGGGGGGGGTACTGCCATATATGGGCTATATGGGTATGTGCCGCTGTGAAGGGTATGGTTTTCAAGCAGTTTACTCTAGGATAGGGTATATAAATCAGAGCGTTTGGGTATAGAATAGGGTATCATTTTTCAGGAAACTGATCAGTTGGTTGAAGATTTTATCTAGACTGGGGAAACAGCTAGTCTAGGATAGGGGGATTTTGGGAGTTTGCTCTAGTATAGGGTAGCAAAATTCAGCTGAACTAGCTCTGGTATAGGTCAAGGGTTCCAAGGTCTCAGCAGCACATCCCCACCCAGAAATTCCTAAAGTGCCCCGGGGTCACAAATTAAACCAGATTTGAAATATTACTATCAGCCTTGATCTTGGTAATTTTGTACTTACAAGACTTGTGTAGAAGGTGCAAACTATTCCCGTTGTAAGGATGGAGGCTGGTAGGGGGATTCCAGCAACTGCAAAAATCAACAAGTTCAAATAATCAAAAAATTAAACTTACAGTTCAATGAGTTGTAAAGTTATAGTGAAATTATACAAGTAAAAGTCTCAGTGTGTCTCAGGCACAAACCCATAATATGACCTATAACCCATTATGTCTGGAGAGTAGAAAATTGGAATTTGACTTATTTTTATTTCAGGTAACTAAATTCTTACTAATGAAATTAATAACTTGAACTAAGGCCATTCTAAAAGATGTTAATTCAAATCACTTTGTCAGTTGTCACACAGTCTTCAATTTACATACTCATAATTTTTGTTTCCTATGTGTATTGTAAACAAAGAAGTAGTGACATAACCCGCAGACAACAATAATTGTTGTCTGCGGGTTATGTCACTACTTCTTTGTTTACAATACACATAGGAAACAAAAATTATTGTCCTTTCATTTCCCCAAGAAGTCGCAAGGGAAAAGTTGTTAAAATATCAAGAAAATTCTTCGTTTGAGTTCATGTAATAATGTAAAAATGTAAGTCTCTTACCAGCTTCCAGTGCGAGCGATGGTGCATAAAGAACCACAAACAGGTATAATGTCTGTCAAAAATATCGCCATAAATATGTGAACAGTTAAACAGAAAATCAAAAAAAGAACGAATAATAATTTGATTTTAATTTATTGATAAGCGAATGAACTAAGAACCCTTTAGGGGCCGGTTATTAGGGTGCAATATCTTTTCATTCTTTGTAACAAGCTTTTAGAACAGAAGTCAAAACATAATAACTTTCATTTTGCTGGAACGTTCCAAAGATACGGGATTCTTATGGCCCGTTTTTTAGGAGAAACTACTGTGAATGTTATAAGCTTAAAAGATTCACTGTCATATTAAATACGATGAAAACGGGAAAAAAATCAATGACGCAAATTATGAAAAAGTGGTAAAAATGGACAGAGAATATGACCCTGGAAAACGCGATAACGAAGCTATATTTAAAAAAAAAACCCATTATATTTTCCAGGCGTTGTTATTGGTGATAATCAGATTTTGCCAAATTTATCTGCTTCGGTATTGGCCTCTATTTTGGGTTTATTTATCAACAGCAAATTGGATTTGTCTTCCGTGTGTTTTTTTTTTTTTCGCCCGCAGCGATTAAAATATCCTGTGTACACTGTAGCTGGAGGTTTTGTTTGCGCAAAAAAAGTGTGGCAAACGCGAGAAGGAACGATGAGCTCTCCTTCCCTCTTCCTCATACACTCTCGTGGCATTTTCTTGAATTTTTCTTCGTCTCCCCCTCCTCCAAAAAAAACCGCTAGCAAGGCAGCCCTTTGTTCTCGTCTCGTTGGGCGTTGTTATTTCGTTTTCGTTGGCCAAGTACGTTATTGCCTTGTGATTGGTTAGATTTACGATTGTTTTGGATTATAGCATGCATTGTCTACATTAAGCTTAAGGAGCTGAAAGAAGCCTGAGACCAGATTTTCATCTCACTGAGTGGCAACTCACGGCCCTTTTTTCCATTCCATTCCGTCCATACTAGTTTCAATATCAGTGAAGAGTTCACCCGGAAATACTTACATATTCCATGATGAAGAATGCACATCCAACCATTCTGACCCCGACCGAGAAGCGGCGCTCCAAGTACTGAGATAAACAAAAGACATAATGGGAAAAAAATTACGTCTGAACTTTTGTTTTAAGCCCGGAGGGCCTTAATAAAATGGTTTCAGTCCCCTTGCTATGAGAGCTTCATCTCAAACCTTTTTATACAACAAAATAGTGAGCTGTACCGCAAGCTCCACTGCGGTTAAATGTGCAAGGCGTTTTTGGTTTGTTTGGTTTGGGACACGAAAGAACCGCGAAATGAACAGTCACGCGTTAGGACTCATAAAAGAGTTTGTGGTCAGGCCACTTCAGCAGCATGATCTAAAGGGTTATTCATCAACTTTCATTTCCAATCGCGCGTTAAAACCAATATAGGATGTTTTTGTGGGAAAAGAGTGCTCAATTTCGTCAATTTGTTATTGACCGGTCTATTGCATTCATCACGCGGCTATCGCGCAATGCTTGGTCTTTAGCACGCACTCGTGCGTGAGCTAAGCGTGTTGCAGGACTGGTCGACAGCCATCTGATGCTTCTTAATGGATTTTTGCTTTTAAAATTAGGTAATTTAGTTGTACTGTATGCCTTTTAAAATTGCGACTCAAAACAATTAAATACGAAGTTTACATGTTGAGCAGTTTCGTCAAATAAGAAAACAATATCTTAAAAACACTTTCGAGAATTAATATCATGTTACGTGCCTAAACCCCTAGAAACACTTCGCTCACAATAAAGCAGTTCGATGGAAAATACACTAGACTAGAAGGAACTAAATGAAAAGCGTGCTAAAGTGCATGTATCTTAGGAATAGTCACACTTAGGGGTTTCACCCATATGCGCAAAATTTTAAACCACTTTAAAGGAGTGGATGATTGAGGCTACTACTGAGTGTTTCTAATAATACAAGAGTCGTACAAAACTGCACAATCCCCTCATTTAGCAGAATCGATACCTGACGTAGGGCTTGTACCTCCCTTAATATTATCATAACATTACTTTCAACAAAAAAAGCAGTGTACATGCTAATGCAGATTAAGAGCAGTGGAAAATTGAGTTATAAAAATGCAGTGCGGAGTCAAGTTACTAAATTATAAAAGGCAGTCGAGATTCAATAATCTTAGTAATGAACAAAATTTTACCTCATTAGCGCAGGTTATATTCACGCGTCTAAACATGGGGACGAAAACAATGGCTACAGTTCCGCAAATGATGAAGTAGGAAAGAATCAGCACGTAGTACTGTGCGCCGTACGTGTAGATCTCAGACGGAACACCAAGCAGCGTAATAGCCGAGAGATAAGACACTAGCAGAGAAATAGCCACCGGGAAGTGTCGCATCTTTCGGTTTGCTAAAAGGTATTCCGACGTAGTCTTTTGCTTGCCTCCAGGTCCGCAGCCATACCAAATGCCGATCAGCGCTGAGATCATCAGCATGATAGAAAAGACCACGTAGTCAACTATGCTGAACCGTTCGTCCGCCATGACTCACCGGGCGCTTCCCTGTTTAGAGCCGCCCTGGCTTAGAGGCTGCGTAAAAAGCTAAGTGTTAGAGATGTTGAGGTGCAGTAAGTCCGGCTTTTCGCGTCAGCGAGTCAGGCGTGATATGCTAATCAACCTATAAATGTTGTCTGGCACGTCAGTTCTAATGAATTTGCATAAGACAGGGAAACTAGGATCGAAAAACCGGAACCGGTGGTGCGTCGGTTCGATTTCTTCAAACGCGCCAGGCTTGTGGATGTCACGCCAATTTTCGTGCTGTCACGCCGAAATTTTAAAAATACTCCTTGCAGACTGACCTCGCACCGGATCGATAGATCAGGTCATGCGATGTCTACACAGAATACGTGATCACAAAAAGCAATCTTAGCTAATCTTGAGGTTAACCTTCACCTTCTAACTGCGCCAAATCAATTTATGAATAAAACTCTGTTTTTAGAATCCTGCTTACAACGATTCTGCTCACGGGACTCATTCGGAACTCGTATTAATTCACAGAGAACTGAAAACCTCTTCCTTTTCTCTATGATTTCTGGTCTTCTTGTCAATTTATAAAGTGGATCGCGAACGTTTGGTGTCTCTAGACTAGGTCTTAGTTTCGTTACAGATCCAGATATCAGCTACATTATGGATATTATGTATAACCAACGTGTTCTGGGTAAAATTGAACTGCAAACAACAACCGTTATTTTCTCTCGAGGCAATATTGGAGAGATGTGGGTGATGAAGCTTTAAGCAAAGTTTCCCTCACTAGAGACGGATTATCGGTTGGATGGCCAGACAAATAATCTGTCTTAACGTGAAACTGAACGGTTTTATTTTAACTTTCTGTTTTTTGAAGATGAATTATCCGTCTCAGACAGATAATCCGTCGTTAGTGTGAAAACGGCTGTTTTGACACTTGAGATGGATTATCCGTCTCAGACGGGCTATCTGTCGGATAACCCCTGTCCGGATGAATAATCCATCTAAATGTGAAAAAAGGGACCGCGTTCATTTTGGACGAATAGTAATCCGTCTGAATTTATTCGTCTGATTAGACGGATTTTGAACACGGACTATCCGTCTTTGACGGATAATCCGTGTCTAGTATGAATAGGGCCTCTGTGCTTGCAGTAAGTACTATGGAAACCATTCACAGTTTTCTCTCACATGAAAAAGGATTAGACACCTAAATAGGCTGTTTTTACGAACATTTATAACCCTTCTTGACGCTTCTTGATATTTGGTTTTTCAATATTAAACTTTCCTCCAAGTTAGTGAAACTGTAAGCTTGATTCTTTCTTCGCCTTTTCCTTGTTGTTAACCTCTCACACTCTTTGGTAGCTGTTTTTGTGCATGACGGTATGAGCTCTTTTAATTCTTTTTAAATTCTTAAACCGACTACTTTCCTTTGTAAAGATGTTTTGTCAGTGTAGAAAAGCTGTGTGACAGCTATTTGATATTTGTGTATATTTAAAAGTTTTATTTACATTTGTTTGTGTTAAATTTTAAACGAACGCGTGCAGTTTTTAACTTGGTGAAGAGCCTCTCAGCTGTGCACGTTACTGGTGACATAAACAAGTATCGCGTGACGCAGTTTCGTAGCGTAAGACATGGGTGAGTAGTTTCAGTGGCTTTGTGAAGAAACTCATCGAAGCAAAAACGTTGCGTGAGTATCCACATGCATGGTTTTTTTCAGTCATTCATGTGGGAAAGTCAGGTATATTTGGCCTTTTTTAATGCGCACTAAGCGTCGAGTAACCATTTCCGCAACACGTACCAATACCATTGAGCTTTAGAAGAGTTTTGTCTGTTTTGAGAGGGGTACTGCTAGTTTTGTTCTTTTTTTGTTGTTTTCTTCCTTTTTCATTTTTTTTTCGCTAATTCCGCGCTGTAGTCTTCATTTTTGTCATGCTAAAGTCTTTTTCTGAAAAAAATTCATCAGACAAGAACGCAAAGAAACCTTCCACTGCACTGCATTGCAGTTAAAGTAAAAATGGTATCGGCATACGAGAATTAAATATGAAACGGGGAAACCGAAATATGAAAAAGAAATGATAATTTTCTTGCATAATTAACATCTTCGTTATTCACCAGTATAGTCATTGACTTTGAAGAAATACTTATGGACAGATTAACGTTATGTTCCCGTATAAATCAGTCAATCAATCAATCAGAATAGAGTGCAGTATTAGATACCTACCGGTTTTGGGGTCAATCACTGCTTTCAATTTGACTTGACTTCGACTTGACTTCGAGTTTGACTTCTCGCATCTCAGCTCCCAAAGAATACGGAGCTTAAGCAACGACGACGAGGACGGCAAGGAGAACGTCAAAACGTCCAGTGCATCACGCTTATTTGTAAATTTAATTCTTTGCCGTCCTTGCATGACTACGACGTGAAACTGCCTATACAGCCGTTTAGAGTTCAAATCCAGGAGAATTTGTCGACAATTGACGAATTGAACGATATGGAATAAGCTCGATCAAGTTTGAAGCAGCGTGAATTCATTTCTTAAGTGGCGTTTTCGGAGCCGTGGCCGTCGTTCTTAAGTTTCCTGATGCAGGAAACTGCATACAGCACTTACTCGCTAATCCAGCTACATTCCAACATACGAGTCTCTGTGGATTCCTTAGCGTCTCAGTTCTGTCGATCAGTGTCCTTTTGGAAGATATTTGTTTGAGCCTCGTGCCCAAGCTTACCCAGGCCTAAACTCGCTCAGTTAGTGGGTCCTGGAGCCGGATAGGAATCTTCCTAGCTCGATGGAAACCTTCATATTCGATTGCGGAATTTATCGGAATTTGTCGCGACTTCTGGAAATGAACCACTCTTGGACTTGTACCGGTAAAAAGGCAGTACAGTCAAGGTGCTATGGCTCTTTTTAAAGGTTAAAGCGTAGTCGATGGATTTTTATTACTCAGTGTACGAGTCATGAGACAAGTCATTTTTTTACTCAAGCAAGATTGGCCTTCTCCGTATTTAAGTCTAAAAACGAGTGTCTTTTAAACGGCACGGACAAGCCATCGCAAGCGTCTTGGTTCTAATAACCAGCTGATCAAACGAAATTCAAAAAAAAGTTGTTCTTTACCTTGCCACTGTGATGGTTACAGCGGTAACACACCTCATTTGACTCGTCTGTCACACTTACTCCAAGAGTGAAGTTATTTCGTAGTGCAGGTATCCACAGGCTATAAACGTTGTTTCGTATATGACCCTACATATTTCTGACCCTTTGTTGTAACTAAAAGCATTGAGGCTGAGGTTAGGAATATTTTAAGAATTTCCTAAGAACATAGCTCCGGCTGAGGTTCATTTTACAACATTTTATTTCACCATTTACAGCATGAGCAATATTGAGATCTGTAGCTGGACTGAATCCAAGTAATGGTCCACAGTGCACAGTCAATATATTAACATATACTTGGCGAGCTCAAGCAAAGTCGTTTTTTGAACGATGCGCCTCAACCTTAAGTGGTTTAAGTAGACTTTTTGCCTGCATTATTGGGTGTGGTTTTTCCCAAATCTTCTGGCAAATCGTCTTTGTAAGAGTAAAACCATTTAGCATTACGAACTTGTTCCGGTCATAGTAATATTGAAAGGGAAAACTGACTGAAGAACTCACGTCCGGTTGACGTCCCAATTCGTCACAATAGAGGTGCAGTTTTTTGGTCACATAACTTTGAAAGAAAACCAACTCTCTTCGTCGAGAACATCGTTAAGAACGTTTTGAGGCTTACATTGCCCTTAAAACTGAGTGAAGAATATCTTATACTGGCTCAGACCTGGCTTCAAATTAGGACTCATTTAGATGTTCTTACAGAAAAGGATGTATCGACTGAAAATACCCCCACTGAGTGCCTTCTTTTCGTAACTCGTTTCGTAACATTGTCGGTGAAGCGATTATACCTGACTGCGTTCTTTGACAATGAACCGGAGAGTTTTTAAGCAAACAAAGCCCACTATAATCTCCCTGAACTATTTTATTTAATTCATTGTTTTGTGGTCGCTGCCCTCTGTTTACTTACAAGACAATATGATTTCTTAATCGTATCACAGGAGAACGCCAATCATGAGGTTAGCTGCTCGTGATTTGTTAGTGCATTACACTGTTTACATTTTAATTAGTTAAATTTTTGCTGGTTTACTCATTTAAACAGACCACGCTGTCAGCTCTCGTGACACTGCGAAAGTACCTGAAGTAAGCTTGTATTTTTTGTATTATGGCTGCACAGAACAATCTCCCAGCAAACCATTCTCTATTTCTTAACGCGGCAGTCGCAACAGCCGAAAAAGTTTCCAAGCCACCGAGAAATGGTGGACAGGCAATGAAGATTGAAGGCGACTGGGACGTATGGATACCTATGTTGCCTCAACTCAGCGAACTTCCATGGACCCTACAGGACATTGCCAAAGTTCTTCGACTTGGCAGAACGCGGGAAAATTTTCGCGCCATTTCTCCGCAGGCGATCGAGCGCGTGTCCTTCCTTTTGCAAAGGCCATTGTTGAGGATCATTCGTGAGGCCAAACGACTGTCTGTTCGATACTCCAAGTGCTCTAAACAAGAAATTCAAACGAGCATCCGCCTGGTTTTGTCGTTGTCATTGGCTAAAAGTTGTCTAGCGCTGGCCTCAAAGGCGCTGTCTCTCTACTTCATGTCGACTGACAGATTTCGTCGGTCCAAGAGAACTCGTAGCGGGCTTATTCTATCCGTTGGCAAAATGTTTCGATGGCTGGTAAACATGAAAGTGGCCCCGCGTATCTATGACGCTGGAGTCATTTACTTGAGCGCCTGTTTAGAATATATAGCGGAGGAGCTTGTGTTTAGAGCTGTCACTAATTTAGGTAATCTTTGTTTTCTACTCATTTATAATGCTAATTATAGTCTGAGCATTGAGGAGACGATAATTATGTTTACTTTAGGACAATGTTGGTAGGGATTAACTACTGAACAACGTATATGAGTTATCACGAAACAAAAGATAAACCCAGCACCACTTAAATTTCGGCCCTCGTTTTAGTTTATTACTTCTTTATTATTTATAAGGAGTGCCACCATCTCTTTTATTTGGTCACAACAGAAGATAGTCTTGTTCTTATAGTGCACCACCGAGTTCAAAAGAAAATGTAAGATCCGTGATCAGGATTGACAATCACTCTAGGTAAATTTTTTAACGTCACTTTCTTCCTGTGAAAACTAAAATTGTCGAAAGCTCCGTTTTTAACTTGTTTTAACAAGAGAGAGCGGTTTGAAACTGTCGGTGCACATTTCAGTATTAGAGAAATACAGTGAGAGCTCTCTTAACGAACACTCTCGTAGGCGGACCGCTCTACTTACAGCCGCCTTTACAAAACTCGTTTTTCTCGTTAATAACATCTTTTCATTTGCTATGTGTGATCGTGCCACTTAGATATTTTTCAGTTATCAAGTGGACAGATAGTGACCCTAACTGACTGTGATACATTCTACTGAACTTCATAGTAAACACTGTCGTTCTAAAAACGCATGAATTGTGAAGAATCTGTTTGAATTGTGTTGCATTGTTTTGCTAATCTTGCGACACTTTAAATTCAGTCAGTTTGATACATTCGGGGCCACTGCATATGTACCTTTTTAGTAATACTGACTCCGAATTGTGTCCAGCTCGTCGACAACTCGACCTGATTACAGACGGTCTGTGACCTTCTGTGATTATACGTCTGGTGGTTGTACAAAATCAGACGTCCTCATATTGGGGCTGAGTCTGATTTGTTTATTCACATGATAACTCAGAGTGCAGACAGAATTGGGTGGGACGAAGTGCTGTTATACCAACATACCTCAGGCGTCATTTTAGAAAATCACTGTAAAAGGGCAAACGTTGTCGGTGATGAACAGTTTTGGTGTCCGGTTTTATTTAATGTGATATTTTGTTGGGTTACACCCACAGTGTGGAAACGTTTTAAG